AAATCACCAGCCGCAAAGTGGGGTCCCAAAACAGGGAAAGATGAGGTGTCTGCCACCGGGCACAGTGGAAATTGCCGAGAGAAAGACCTGAAGTGGGAAACAAAGAAGAAGCCATAGAATGTGCCGAGGGGGAAGAGGAGAAGAGCATAACTCCCTTTTTTGTAGCATTTCACAGTTCCCACGCACCCTCAGCAGCATTATCTCCCTCATGCAACCCTGAGATATCTGCCCCGTGCTGGAGAGGCAGGCACAGGCCCAGAGAGGTCAAAGGCCATGGCCAAGGTCACAGCCTGTAAGAGGGAGAGCAGTGCTGGAAATCTGATCTTGTAGCTATAAATCGAGTGAATAGTTGCATATGAGGCCGTGGGTGCTGAGTTTCTCTAAGGTTGAACTGAGCCTTAAAGAATGGAAGAGCCAGAAAAACAATTGTTTCTCTCTCAAACATGGATATTTCTGAAGTCCCAAGGCATAAGCAGAGCCGCCTTAGGAAATTATGGCTAAAATGGCAAGTTCTGGAATCTGACAGCCCCAAGATAGAACCAAGCTGTCCCTCTCTTCCGTGTGACTTTGGGCAAGCTGTTTAACCCTTCCAGGCCTGTTTCTTCTTCTCTAACATGGGACCATCATTACACTTAACCGTGGAGCACCAGATCTCAAAGTGGTCCCCTCTCCAGCACCATCAGCATAACCATGGGACTAGCTGGAAATGCCGACTCCCATGCCCCAACCCAGACCTTCTGAAATCAGGAACTCCACCAGGCCTGATGAACTGTTTTAAGGGGATTCCAACGCACAAGTGCCCCAAAGGACCGTTGGATGGTGAAGGCAGAGTTTTGGGGTCCCCAAGTTCCAGGCCAGTTTCCCACCCTGTGTGTGTGTCCCCCCCAACTCCTACCTCAGGTGCGGTTCCCATCCCACTTCAGCTCTGACCTGAAGGACCTGCTGCGGAACCTCCTTCAGGTGGACCTTACCAAGCGCTTTGGGAACCTCAAGAACGGGGTCAATGACATCAAGAACCACAAGTGGTTCGCCACGACTGACTGGATTGCCATCTACCAGAGGAAGGTGGGTGTCCCCCCCTCTCCCCGAGTATGCAGAGGGCTTTGGGGGCAGGCCAAGAGCCAGGGAGGGCCACCAATGGAGAGATGGAGAGGGAGGAAGAATTTGAAAATAGGCCACGGCCGAAGGTCCTTCTAGCTGGGGCAGTGTAGAGCAGTGGGGGCCTTAAAATGGGATTACAGGGTCACTTGACCATGCTGACCTTGAGCAAGAGACACCCCTGTCTGGAAAGTCACTTCCCCACTGGTGAGTTGTCTATAGAGTGGAAACTCAGTTCTCGAACTTTATTTGTTCTGGAATGCTGTTCGAAAACTGAATAATTTTTTTCCCATTAGAAAGAATGTCAACTGAATTAATTCATCCAGACCCCCAAATGATTCCTTGTTTTAACTTTTTTTAAAAATATATTTTATTGATTTTTTACAGAGAGGAAGAGAGAGGATAGAGAGTTAAAAACATCGATGAGAGAGAATCATCCATCAGCTGCCTCTTGCCCACCCCGTACTGGGGATGTGCCTCCAAACAAGGTACAAGCCCTTGACTGGAATCGAACCTGGGACCCTTCAGTCCACAGGCTGACGCTCTATCCACTGAACTAAACCGGTTTCGGCTTAATTTTTTTACATACAGTACATATCTATCTTATTGTTTAACCTATAAACAAACACTTTTAAGAATAAAAATGACATGGAATACAAATGAAAATTTAACAGAAAGGAAGTGTACAATAAAAAGATGAAAATTTAACAATCATTATAAGCAGCAACAAACAAACAAACAAAAAAAACCCCACGAAAATATTCACAGCACAATATCCTGAGATTTTAACAGCAGTCAACTGACTCATATTCGCGCATTCTTTCCTTTGCACCTGAGAGATGCGTGACTGATCACACAGGTATCAGCAGGAAAGGGTTGTCAGGTTGAGGAGCGAGTTTTCCTTCTAGATGGGAGACTTTGGAGAAACTGAGGGTCCACTGTAATAAGATTCTTGGGTTTGTGAAGGTGAGCTCACACCCTGATGCTAAGCTCTGGCCCGAGTCTCAGTCACGAATGTTAGGCCATTCGTGTTTATTGTCTTAACAAGGATGATGTTGACGGCTGAGGTCCGGGTAATTCTTGACCCTTTCCAGGTGGAAGCTCCCTTCATACCAAAGTTTAAAGGCCCTGGGGACACGAGTAATTTTGATGACTATGAAGAGGAAGAGATCCGAGTCTCCATCAATGAGAAGTGTGCAAAGGAGTTTTCTGATTTTTAGGGGTGTGCCTGTGCCCCCCAGGGTTTTTTCTTTTTTTTGTGGGGGGTGGGTGGGAGGGTTGGATTGAACAGCCAGAGGGCCCCAGAGTTCCTTACATCTAATTTCACCCCCGCCCCACCCTCCAGGGTCGGGGAGCAGGAAGCCCAGACATTCAGAGGGACAGGAATACCAGCTGCTCTCCCTCCTCCCCTTCACCCTCCCGCCCTCCCTAACGCTTTTGCCTTCTTCCACCCCAGCCCACTTCGGCTTGTTTTAATTGAGTATCTCAGGCCTAGTCAGACCAGGTCTTACTAGTGTGTCCAGGGACAGGGTGTGGAAAGAGGGGCCCAATCTTAACTCCAACCCCCTTCCCTCCCCGCCTCCCTCACCAGACCACCAGCATACTTGCTAAGGGAGAATAAAAGGATGGCCAGCCTTCCCTGCAAAGCAATCTGGCCTGGGGAGGAGAGATTTTAGTGACGTGCAGTGGGCTACTTGCTAGAATTTTTTAAAAGACAACTTGCAAACTTATTTAAGTTCCACCAGTGCCTCCTATCCCCCCCTCTCCAAATCCATTTTAACCAGGCTGGGAAGCAGACGGACTTGTAACGGAAAGGGCTGGGGGTTCCACCCTCTCCCCCTAGCTGCTACTCCCTCCTACCCTGCCAAGCCTGGGAAGGTCTCAGCCCCTTTAGGAAACCCCCAAACAGCTCTCCCCTTCTGCCCCCACACACCTTCCTTCACCCTTGGGCTTTGGGACCCAGACAAAGCAGCTGCCCCTCTCCCTGCCAAAGAGGAGTTGTTCCCCCAAAAGATAGAGGGGGAGCCCCAAGCCCAGGGTCTTTCCTCCCCACAGCACTCCCCCAAACTCCTAAATTTTATTCTTAGCTAGATTTTAATGCCCAGCCTCTTCTCAGCTCAGTTGGGAAGGCAACCCTGGCAGAAGGAGGCAGAGCCCCCCCCCTTCCCTCTGTGGACCCCCGTTCAAGCCCAGAGTTGCTAGGGAGGGGCTCTGTTTTATTCACCCAACAGCCCTCCCCCCACCAATCCTGGGCGCTCCTCTGCTTAGCTGTCAGCTACCGCCTCCTACCCCATTTGTGCTTTTTTTCTCTCTTCATAGAAAAGTTGGGAGCCCCTATTCAACCTCAAATCTGCCCCTCTCTCTCAGAACTTCTCCCCATCCCAGGAGGAGCTCTCAGGCTTGGGATGGGGCCACGGGTGGGCGCAGGGGTGATGCAATCTGTGTGCTGGGAAGGATGAGACTTCCTCTTGAACAGTGTGCTGTTGTAAACATATTTGAAAACTATTACCAATAAAGTTTTGTTTAAAAAAAAGTGTCCCTGGTATTCCCGAATTTGGTCAACCGCCCCCTCCCACCCCATATACATACACATACATACACACACACACACACACACACACACACACACACACACACCCCGGGAGGATGGGAAGGGGATTTTGCACCCTAGGGTCCAGGCTGGTGAGGACCTGGCCTGGGAGTCCCGGTAAAACTGGGTTTAGCTGACTTCCGCCGCTCGCCCCCAGGCCCCGCAGGAAAAGGGGGTAGCAAGTTGCGCTATCACCCTGAATTCGGGGTTCCCCAAGTCTGCGTCGCGCCCCCTCGGCATACAGTCCTGGGCCGAGAGGGAGTTCCAAGGAGACTCTGGGGCCAGCGCGCTGGGAAGCCGAGCTCTGGGGTGGGGAAGAGTCGCGGGGGCCTGGTTGGGGGCGGCCAAGGGTGGGGGTGACGGAGCGCGCCCCCCTCCCCGCCTTCTCTGCGCGAGGCCAGGCGCGCCCCGGGGCCGCCGGAGCGGCGGCGGCGCAGAGGTTCCTGCGCGCCCGGCGAGCGCGGCGGCCCGGCCGGCGAGCGGCGAGTTCCCGGTAAGTGCGGTCCCGAGAGCGGAGCGCGCCTCGGAGGCGTGGAGATGGGGGCTGGGCGCCGGGGACGTCTGGGTCCCGCGCCCAATGGCTGGAGGGCGGCCGAGCGCCGCCCGTCCGCCCCGCCCGCCCCCTCTCCCCTCCCCCCGGCCCTCCCCTCCCCCCCGCCGCCCGCCGCTTCCCCCGCCCCCGCCCCGGCGCCAACTCCGCGGCGCCTCCTTAAAAAGCGCGCGGGAGTTGTAAGGGGGGGTCGGAGTGAGCCAGAGCGCAGGGTACAGGGGGCGGGCGGGGGGCCCGGGCTCCACCTTAAAAGCGGGCGCCTGGGGGTGGGAGGGAGGAAGGCGGGCGGCGGGGGGAGGGGGGAAGGAAGGGGGGCCGGAGTGTCCCGGGCGCAGGGCGCGCGTGCGGCGGCGGCGGCGGCGGCGGCGGCGGCGGCGGCGGCGGGGAGGGGCCGGCTGCGCTCCCCTCCTCCCTCGCATCCCCGGCCCCGCGCGCGCCCAGCAGAAGCGGGTCTGTGTGTGTGCGTGCGTGCGAGCGAGTGTGTGCATATATTTTTTCTCTCTTTTCTTTCTCTCTCACTGTTTTCTCTCTCTCTCTCTCTCTCTCTCTCGCTTTCTCTCTCGCGCTCGCTCGCTCTTTTTTTTTTTTTTTTTTTTTTTTTGCAAAGAACCAGCAGCGCCGCCGCCGCTCCGCCGAGGCGCTGCGCCCCCCCGGGGGGGGGGAGGAGGAGGCGGGCAGCGGCGGAGGGAGGGGAGCCCGGGAGGGGGGCGCCGCGCTGGGAGGGAGGCAGCGCGCACGGTGCAGCCGGGCCGGGCGGGAGGTATGGCGGGGCCCCCGGCCCTACCCCCGCCGGAGACGGCGGCGGCCGCCACCACAGCGGCCGCTACCTCGTCGTCCGCTGTCTCCCCGCACTACCAAGAGTGGATCCTGGACACCATCGACTCGCTGCGCTCGCGCAAGGCGCGGCCGGACCTGGAGCGCATCTGCCGGATGGTGCGGCGGCGGCACGGCCCGGAGCCGGAGCGCACGCGCGCCGAGCTCGAGAAACTGATCCAGCAGCGCGCCGTCCTCCGGGTCAGCTACAAGGGGAGCATTTCGTACCGCAACGCGGCGCGCGTCCAGCCGCCCCGGCGCGGAGCCACCCCGCCGGCCCCGCCGCGCGCCCCTCGCGGGGGCCCGGCCGCCGCGCCGCCGCCCACGCCCGCCCCGCCGCCGCCGCCCGCGCCCGTCGCTGCCGCCGCCCCAGCCCGGGCGCCCCGCGCGGCTGCCGCGGCCGCCGCCACCACAGCGCCCCCCTCGCCCGGCCCCGCGCAGCCGGGCCCCCGCGCGCAGCGGGCCGCGCCCCTGGCCGCGCCGCCGCCCGCGCCCGCCGCTCCGCTGCCAGTGGCGCCTCCGACCGGCCCGCGGCGCGCCCCCCCTCCCGCCGTCGCCGCCCGGGAGCCGCCACTGCCGCCGCCGCCACAGCCGCCGGCGCCGCCACAGCAGCAGCAGCAGCCGCCGCCGCCGCAGCCACAGCAGCCGCCGGAGGGGGGCGCGGCGCGGGCCAGCGGCCCTGCGCGGCCCGTGAGCCTGCGGGAAGTCGTGCGCTACCTCGGGGGCAGCGGCGGAGCCGGCGGCCGCCTGACCCGGGGCCGAGCGCAGGGGCTGCTGGAGGAGGAGGCGGCGGCGCGAGGCCGCCTGGAGCGCTCCCGCCTCGGAGCGCTCGCGCCGCCCCGCGGGGATAGGCCTGGACGAGCGCCGACGGCTGCCAGCGCCCGCGCGTCGCGGAGCAAGGTGAGCGCGCCGGGGAGGGAAGGCGCCGCGCGGTGGGCAGGTGCGGGTGAACTTGGTGTTGGGGGTGCGAGTCCCGAGAGGAACCGGTCCGCTCGGGCTTTGTGCGGCTTCCCTTACAGATTCAGCGTGTAGCAAGCAGCCTCGGTTAGGGACTTCATCTTTCCGAGCCTCAGTTTCCTCCGGTGTAAAACTTAACAGCAGTAGCGACCTCTTGGGGTGGAGCGAGTGTAATGAGATTTGGTTCCTGGGGGCTTTATGGGCACGGAGCTTGGCACGGAGCAGATGTGTAGAAGTTAGTCCGTGTGGATATTAAAAGTGGCCGTTAGGTACACCGCTCAGTCCTGGATGCCAGGGACTGGGCCCGTGGCCAAAACAGCTGCTAACTTTGCACGCCTCTCCCCTTGCCACCAGAGAGGTGGAGAAGAGCGACTGCTCGAGAAGGAAGAGGAGGAAGAGGATGACGAAGATGAAGATGATGAAGACAATGTGTCTGAGGGCTCCGAGGTCCCCGAGGGTGACCGTCCTGCAGGGGCCCAGCATCACCAGCTTAATGGTGAGAGGGGCCCTCAGAGTGCCAAGGAGAGAGTCAAGGAGTGGACACCTTGCGGACCTCACCAGGGCCAGGATGAAGGGCGGGCACCAGCGCCCGGCAGTGGCACCCGCCAGGTGTTCTCTATGGCAGCCATGAATAAGGAAGGGGGATCAGGTAAGGATCCCTCTGGAAGGGGGAGAGGGAGCCCGGTGGGGAAGAACTAAGCCCCAAGACTACCTCACTGGTGGATGCTTTTTTTCCAGCCTCTGCTGCCACTGGGCCAGACTCCCCATCCCCCGTGCCTTTGCCCCCAGGAAAACCAGCCCTGCCTGTGGCCGATGGAACCCCCTTTGGCTGTCCGTAAGTTGGGGTGTTTGAGACAAGAGGGTGGTGGCCCAGGGGGGTATAACAACCGGAGTAACACCACTGTTCCCTGGTTCCCTCTTTTCCGTTGCAGTTCTGGGCGCAAAGAGAAGCCAGCTGACCCTGTAGAATGGACAGTGATGGACGTGGTGGAATATTTCACAGAGGCTGGCTTCCCAGAACAGGCCACAGCTTTCCAAGAACAGGTGAGTTCTCCACCCTAACGTTTCCCTCCTCTGTCCCAGGGCGGCAGTGGGGGTCTGCTCTGACCCTGTGTTCTGTCTCTCTCTGTCCCGCCCAGGAAATAGACGGCAAGTCTCTCCTGCTCATGCAGCGGACAGATGTGCTAACCGGCCTGTCCATCCGCCTTGGCCCAGCTCTGAAGATCTACGAGCACCACATCAAGGTGCTCCAGCAAGGCCACTTTGAGGATGATGACCCTGATGGCCTCCTAGGCTGAATGTCCGGTCTCACCCCTGCCCTGACCCTTTCTTAGCCCCGTCTTACCCAAGCCCCCTGGAGTCCAGGGGTTGGACTAGGGACATTCGGCCCTCATAACAGATTCCAGGGAGGGACACCCTTCCCTACTCACCTCTTCCCAGTGTCCCCCCAACACACACATCTGGCATTGAGCACATCCCCGACTTCCTGATGGAGGAGTGTGGGGTGGGACAGGCCTGCTCACCCCCAATCTAGGACATTTAAAAAAAGAAGAAATGGGGGCTTCGTATCTCCCATAGATCAGCCAGATGTTTCCTATATAATGATTTGTTCTGCCTGTTCATTTTGATGGGTGGCCTTTCTTTCCTCCTCCTCCCCCCCCCACCAACCAGGCCCCTCCTTGGTCTACCCTCAGCCTCCATCCCCTGGGTAGGGCGAGATCATTGGGTCTTCCCTACTCTTTCTGTTGGTCATCGCTCCAGCTGGCTGTATTGCTTTTTAATATTGCACCGAAGATTTTTTAAATAAAGTTTTAAAAAAAAGGAAAAGAAAAGGAAAAAAAAAAAAAAGGCCAGGAGTCCCATTTTGTCAATGGAGTTGGGGAAGCAGGTGTTGGGAAAGCCGGGTTAGCACTGAATTGCTCTTAAAGGGAGACCGGTAGTAAATGTGCTGCCTTGCAGTGACTATAATAGTGATTTCTCCAGGAGGACAGGAATGTTTGCTCAGTTCTATCATCTCCCCATGCCCAGAACAGTGCCTATAATAATAGGTGCTTAAATGTTTGTTGAGTGACTAGCCGTTAACACTTTTAAAATATATATATATTTTATTGATTTTTTTTTCTTCCAAAGAGGAAAGGAGAGGGATAGAGAGCTAGAAACATCAAATAGAGAGAAACATTGACCAGCTGCCTCCTGCACACCCCCCACCAGGGATGTGCCCCCAACCAAGTCACATGCCCTTGACCAGAATCGAACCCGGGACCCCTTAATCCGCAGGCCGACACTATCCACTGAGCCAAACCGGTTTTGGTCGACTTGTGTTTTTTTAGAGAATTTTTTTTTTTAATATATTTTATTGATTTCTTACAGAGAGGAAGAGAGGGGATAGAGAGTTAGAAACATCTATGAGAGAGAATCATCGACCAGCTGCCTCCTGCACACCCCCTACTGGGGATGTGCCCACAACCAAGGTACATGCTCTTCACCGGAATCGAACCCGGGACCTTTCAGTCTGCAGGCTGACACTATCCACTGAGCCAAACCGGTTTCAGCAGGAATTTATTTTTTTTAATAGGTTTTTATTTCAGAGAGAGGAAAGGAGAGAGAGAGGCTGAAACATCAATGATGAGAATCACCTACTGGCTGCCTCTTGCATGCCTCCTACTGAGGATCAGTTGTAACCCAGGCATGTGCCCTGACTAGGAATCCAACCATGACCTGGTTCATGGGTTGAAGCTCAGCCACTGAGCTACACCAGCCGGCAGCTTCAGTTTCTTGGCGGTTCTCTCTGCAATCCCATGAAGCAGAGCTTGTAAAATCACTTTACAGATAGGGGAAGACACTTGCTCAAGGTCACTCAGGGTGGGATCCAACACCTGTGAGCACTTTACCCAGGGTTTAAGTATAATTACAGCATTTGGCTTCGTATGTATAAGTCTGGCAGCCTTGCAAGCTACAAAGAACGATTGGAAGCGGGTCCGACCGTTCAGGGTCTGTGGCAGGACCTCCAAGCTACAAGGTTCTCTCTCCATAAAAGGAACAAGGGATTGGGTTATCGAATGAGATAGTCCCTCTAAATTCTAATGCAGTTTCTCTCAACTGCACCAGTTTAATTATGTTAACCCTCACAGGTGGATTTTTTTTCTTTGTTTTTTGAGAGTGGGAAGGAGGGAGGTGGGGCAGAAAGAGACTAAGAAACGTAGATATGAGAGACACTGATTGGTTGCCTCCCCCAAGTGCCCCAATCAGGGCTGGATGGAACCTGCAACACAGGTACCTGCCCTTGACTTGGAATCAAACCTGGACCCTTTCAAGGGCTGAGGCTCTAACCATTAAGCAACCAGTCAGGACAACTCCCATTAGTTTTGTTTTTGTTTTACCCTTTTATTGACTCTGGAGAGAAGAGGGACAGGGATAGTAGAAACATGGATCTGCTGCCTCCTGCACACACCTCCTGGGGGTCACATTGGAAACCCGGGCATGTCCCCTGAATCGGTGACCTTTCGGGGTTCAGAGGTCCATGCTCAATCACCCGCCGCTGGGCACTCCCTTAGCTTTTAAAATACAGATTCAGACCTGAAGTCAGAGGCGCTGTGGGTGGGAGCAGGTGTCTCCCTTTATATCCCTGCGCCCCAGGGCTTGGATGCGCTGCGGACACACACACACACACACACACACACACACACACACACACACACACACCCACACCTAGGAAACTGCCTCCAGGAGAAAGGCGGTGGCCTCCAGACCGCACCCCAAAGACAGAATCTCCCCAGTGCCGCCCCAGGTCGCCCCCTCCCCACCTCCGTTGGTTGGATGCCGGAGCGCGCGCCCCAGCGGACCCCAGCGGCGCGCCCTCCTACGTGTTGAAATTCAAACGAGGTGAGCTCCGCGCGGTGCTCCGCCGCCAGCAGAGCGGTCGAGGCAGGAGTGGGGTGGCCGGTGCTGCGCTCTCATCCATCCGGGGCGAATCAGAGGCTCCCAGGCGGGGTCGAACCCGTGGCCAACCGGGGCGCTGTAGATTTAAAGGTCCCAGATCCCTTCCTCCGGCCCCACAATGGCTACGGAGCAGTGGTTCGTGGGGCCGATCCTCCCCGGCGGCGCTGGGGAAACGCTGCCCCCGGATGATTTGGAACCTGAGGCTCCACCCTGCGGAGGCCCCGCGTGGTCGGCGTCCTCTGGCCGGCCTGGGGACCCAGCCCAGGTGGAACCGGAGGATGCCCAGGGGCAACTGCCCAAGGCCTCCCCTTCCACGCCTTCCCCGGAGCCTTTGGCCCCGGGACCGGGGCCCACACCTCCTCGCCTACCCCTGGACACCTTGTTCAGCCCCATCACGGAACAACTCCGCTACCTGCTCAAGAAGGCGGATGACTTCCAAAGCTACTTGCTCTACAGGTAGTGCTGGACAGAGTCCCAGGGTCCCCGCACGTAAGGAGACACGGAGGGGAGAGCTGACTGGATAGGCAGGGGGAACACACCAGAGTTGCAAACGTAAAAGCATTAGGAGCTAGAGGCAATGAATGAAGTTAGCTGATGAGGAATCTAATGGTGAGGGCTGTGTACCATTGGGGTTAGGGAGTACCTGCTATTGAGTGGGCACCAGTTTGCCAAATTTCTAGGACTGTTTTTTTTTTTTCTTTTTTTCTTTTTTTTGGTTTTTAACTGAAGGCTTAGGTTTTGGACCCTGGGCAGCCTAAACAAAACCCATCTGAGCCAGATTTGGCCTGCTGGCTACCAGTTTGAGACCAAAAGGGAGAAAGTGATTCCAGCCCAAGGAAAAAGGGACCGATTCTGGGAGGCTGCAAAAAAATAAGTCATGGGACTCGGGTGTCAGCATCTTACCAGGTGTTCCCAATAGTTGTGAGGCAGGGTTGTCCTGGAAGATGCTCTGACAAAGAAGGATCTGGAGTGGGGGTGGGAGGTGGGGGTGGGGAGGGTGTGCCGGAGGTCCAGACCAGGGATAAAGTGGAGGGGGTGGGTGGGTAGAATGGGGGACATGAGGGGGTGACAAGAGATTCTAAGCAAAGGTTTTCTTCTCCCTTCAGCAGGGACCGTGTTCAGAAGGAACAGCTGGCGAAGGCCATGCCCACCTTCTTAAAGATGTGTGAGCCCTACTTCCTGTACCTGGAGGCCGCTGCAAGGAGTGTGCCTCCCATCTTCGGAGCCCTGCAGGAGCTGGTTCGAAAGGGGGTGTGTGGGGGCAGGTCCCTAGACCCCTTTCCTCACCCCTCGGGCCTCTGGCGGGGTGGGGGAGGGGCAGGTGCTCCTGACAGGCCAGCTAATCCCATGATGCCTCCTCTCCCATGCAGCTGTTGGAGATCTCCCAACAGCTGACCCTGCGCCTGGAACAGCTGGTGCTCATGTATGCATCCTTTGGGTTTGTGGAACTGGAAGAGACAGACCCCCTAAGGTAACAGGGTGGGAGACTGGGATTGGTAGAAGGAAGGGTCTGGGGCACCACCTCCTTCTCCACTCTCCTCCCATCTCTTCCCAGCATCTCCTGTTTCTTCTGTGGGAAGTTCTCCATCAGCCCTTCCCACGAGGTGTCCATCTTCAGATACTGTGCCCCTGCCGCCTACACCACCAGCCGCTTCCCCCGCTACCTCTACAAGAAGATGCGCTGGAACCTGGAAACTACCCCAGACCCCAGCAGCCGGGGGCAAGATTCCCATGTGGATTAGTGAGTCCCCTTACCAGAACCAAAGTCCCTACCCCCTCTTCGGAGAATGACAATATGGGCCTCTGAACCACCACCACTGAGGTGTGGAAAGTCAAACAGGAAACCGAGGACCTCTGAAAGGCCATCCGTGCCTTTTAAAAAAACTCAGCCCCCAGTCAAAATAAAAGTCCTCATCTTAAAAGTAGTCTGGTAGAGAGAAAAGGCCTCAGTATTATGTCACATCCCTATCTGAGAACTGGAAGGCAACTTCCGATGAGTTTCTACCTCATCTCCAAAATTAAAGCCCTCCGCTGAAGAAGCTAGGATACTGCTCACTCGTAACTGCTGCCTCTTCCCCTCCCAGCTACTTTCTGTGCTACCGAGATACATGGGAAGACACAGGCAAGAGTCCGGCCAATTCTTGTCCCCAGATTCAGAAGCTGTGGTCCATCGGCCGGTGGGTGCCCCTAGGACCAGCTGAGGATGACCTTTATTCCTGGTAGGAGCTAGGGCCGTGGCAAGGTGGGCATGGGCGCTGGGGGGAGGGGCAGAACCCCACCATCGACCTTCTACCTCCCCCAGCATTGTTTCCCTTGGTAATAACGATAGCATTTTATTATGTTCTGAAAACTGCTTTATGTGAAACCCATTTAGGTCGATACTATTATAGCCCATTTTTACAAAGAAGGAAACAGGTGCCCAGAGGGGTTACCTGCCCAAGGGCACACAGCAGCTAGATGATTGGTCAAATTGGAGGGATGCATAGTTCAGCCTCCCAGAACTAGTGCCCTCTAGGTTTCTCATCCACAAGGAAACCACTTCCCCCACCAGCTGAGACAAAAGCCTGTTTCAGTCCCAGCCTCTCACCCAAGGGGAGAGGCTCCCGAGAAGCAGAGGGCGCTCACGTCCAGCCCTGTCTGTCCTGGGCCCCCAGGATTTTGTGCCCGCAGCCGTCCGGAGATTACCAGCAGCTGCTGACCATCGGCTTCGAGGAGCCATCTCACATGCTAGCCACCGACCTGCTGGTGCAAATCCTCACCGGCCAGGCAGGCCCGGCCCGGCCCCCGAGCGCGGCCGGGCCCACAGCGTGGGACACACCGGGCTCCTGAACCTGGGGACCGGCAGGAGCTGAAGCTTTGACAGTTCCGAACTCCAGGAGAGGGGCAGGGCAAGGGAGGGGCTCACTCGTTCCCCAAGGGCGGCCGCTCGGCCTCACCTTCTAAGGGGCCGGGCCGCGCTGGTCCATCCGCACCGGGTCTGCCCCGGCCGCGCGGTCCTGCGTGCGGATACACCATTTTTGTGTTTAAATAAAAGAAAGAGGTCACAAACTGAGAGTCCACTCGAGCGCCGCTCCCCTCCTCTCGGGCGGTGAAGCCCCGCCTGCTCGCGCCGACTTCTGGGAAATGTAGTTTTTTGGTAACAAAACCGTGTTCCGCGGACCGGCGGACCGGAGCTCTGGGCATGCGCAGAGGCGTACGTGCAGCCAAGAGGGAAGTAGCGGTGCTTGTCAACAACCGGAACCCAGAAAAACCGCAACTTTCGGGCCGCCGGGAAACTCTTCGCCCGTTGGGGTCGGGGGAGGGGTGGCAGTGGGGGTATGTAAGTATGAGAAGGAACCCCCACAGGGTCACGCCCACTTGCCTACTTTGACCCGGAAGTGATTTCTTTGAAACGTGAAATACCTTCTTTCCAGATGTGCCCCAGGATAAGAGCTCTCGGTTAGTTTCCTAAGAGCCAAGATGAGATCCTGTAGCTTTGGGGTCCCGGGCCGGGTAGGTCGCTGTACCCCGCGGTATGTCCCGGGCGTAGGAGAGGTGGGAGAGCCACAAAGAACTACAACTTTTGGATCTCCCAAGCCTCCCCCAACCTTGGGCTGGAGGGGAACCCCAGGCTGAGACGGTTGGACTCACCTGGTCAAAGCTACAGCGGGCCAAGTAGCGGAGCCTGGACCGGAGCTGGGTTCTTGTCATCGCAGCTGGTCCCCGGCGAGGGGAGGGGTGCCGTTCCTGGCCGTGTGCCACTCAGCTGCAGGTTACGCCCTTTAAACTAAGAAATGCCTTTGGGCCCCCTCCACCCCCGCATTTTCAGAGGAGAGACCTCAAGTCCTGCTCTGATGCTTTGAGCAAAGGCACTCGCTTACCTAATAGTCCCTGGCACATTGTATTTATAAGTCCCACTGCACAGAAGACAAACGGACAGGAGGGGTGAAGTGAATCTGGATTGGACACCAAAACCCTCGTTTTGGGGGGGGATGGGGCTTTTTTTTTTGGTGACAATTTCTGGTTGTATCAAGGATTTTTTTAAAAATTTATTTGTGTGTGTGTGTGTGAATTTTTTTTTATTGGGACATAGTGGGTGGGTAACTTGGTGGTTATACCCCAGCAGGGTACTGTCCATTCTAATCCTCCTTGGCTAGCTTTATCAAGGATTTTTTAATCCACAGCCCAGGTCCGAATGAATTCAAAGGGGTTCTGAAGCTCCCTAATACTAAAAGCTCCTGTGAGATTTCTCCCAGCTGCCGAACTCTATAGACTAGCCTGGTTCAATAGAAATATAAAGTGTGAGTCATGTGTGACCTCAAATTTTATATATAGTAGCCACATTTTTTTTAAAGGCCAGACTAATTTTGGTGAAATTTTTAATTAACTCAATATCTCCAAAATATTATTTCAACATATAATCAATGTAAGAAAATATTAATGATCCTGGCCGGCTTGGGTTGGTATTTCAGTTTCAACCTATGAACCAGGAAGTCACTGTTTGATTCCTGGTCAGGGCACATACCAGGAATCAAGGTTGTGGGTCAGTCTCTCTCCCCTTCCTCTCTGAAATCAATAATTTAAAAAAATATATTAAAAAAATAAAGTATTAATAAGATATCCCCTCTTTTTTGGTACTAAGCCTTTGAATTCTGGTACTTTACACTTACAGTACATCTCAATTCTGATTAGTCACATGGAACTTTAGACTGTCTCCCGAAAGGCAAGTACAAAGGCCACGTAAGACTAATGGTTTCCAGTGGGTGATGGCAGTACCAGGAGAGGAAGGAAGCAGGCTTGATTTCCTGGGTCCTGTTCCTGGAGAACTGTCTACACCCATGATTCTCCAACTTTAGCATCCCCGAGATTAATATGGAAGCTTTTTAAAATATATATATTTTATTGATTTTTTTTTTTTTAACAGAGAGGAAGAGAGAGGGATAGAGAATTAGAAACATCTATCAGCCGCTTCCTGCACACCCCCTACTGGGGATGTGCCCGAAACTAAGGTACATGCCCTTGACCGAAATCGAGCCTGGGACACTTCAGTCCTCAGACCAACGCTATCCACTGAGCCAAACCGGTTAGGGCTACATGGAAGTTTTTTGTTTTTGTTTTTTAATATATTTTATTGATTTTTTTACAGAGAGGAGGAGAGAGGGATAGAGCTAGAAACGTCGATGAGAGAGAAACATTGACCAGCTGCCTCTTGCACACCCCCTACCGGGGATGTGCCCGCAACCAATGTACATGCCCTTGACTGAAATCGAACGTGGGACCTTTCAGTCTACAGACCGACGCTCTACCACTGAGCAAACCCGGTTTTGGCTACATGGAAGATTTGATCCAGTTTGGGATGGAGCCCAAGCATGTGTATTTTTAACAAGTTCTCAAGCAGTGCCAGCCTACTTTGAGAACTTCTGGCCTAGATCTACATCATGGCTCTCAAACTTGGCTCCATGTTGGAAGCTCCTGGAGAGCTTTACTGATGCAGAGGCCTCCCTCCCTCAGAGTCTGATTTGCTTGGCATAAGGGTGCCTCTGGCCTCTGGTGATTTTAACTTGTAGGAACGTTTAAGAAACAAGGTCCATACTTCAGCCACCCTTAAGTCAACTCTTTACATGCTTCGTTCTTAGTTGCCCTTCTGGGAATGAACTGGCTCTGGTGTTTCCATTTCCACCTCGGCAGTGCTGCTCTCCCTGCCTTTCTCTCTCGACCTCCAAGTCACTGTCAGGTACGAGGTCAGTGTGCTGATGATGGGGTCAGGTGGTGGGCTGAGCTGCTGATGGCGTGCAAGGCTGTATGAGCAAGCATTCTCCCATCCTTCATTAACCATCTGTTGTCCCTATGAAGGTCCCAGCCTGTTGCTGGACTCAGGGTGTACAGAGTTGGACAAATCCAAGAGTTTAAACAATTATTCTAAAAATGTTCCCCTGGTCTCAAGCGTCTCTGAGTCTCACTGCACCCTAAGAAGCTGGTCCTCTAAAACCACAGAATGTAACTGCAGAGACTTGGGGTGTTCACAGAATTTCAAGTCCATTCAAGGGAACAGAGAGAATGAACCACAAGCCCTTCTGCAGACAGGTGTTGCTTGCTGTCTGCGCGCACGCGCGCTCACACACACACACACACACACACACACACACACACCCTATTTTAAGAGTTTTCTAAATAGTCACAATTATTTAAAGTTTAGTAGATTCTCTTTTAAAGCCCCGGTTTCCCTTGCTTTTGAGAAGCAGAAGCTCTGGCACCACTTAACCCACTCATTGGTAGGGCTGGTGTGTTGGAGGAACACTTATGTACCAGCCCTTTGAACCTAGGCATTTTGTTTTCCAGCAGCCCTCACCTCTCAACATTTGCCTGGGGCCACAGGCATGTGAGGTTTGCGATCACTAGTCTTATGTGCCCTGCTCAGGAGATTGTACCCTCATTTTTTTTTTCCTTTTTCTTCTTGTGTGGTTATTGTTTACATCCCACGGGCAGGAACAACCTCTTATCATTTTTGTCTAGCACGGAACATGCTGCTGGCATCAACAAATATTGACGAAGTCTGGAAAGGAGGGCGTGAGGTCATGGATCCGAATGCCGCAGTCTGCGCCCGCGCCACCAGGGGGCACAAGGACCCGGGCCGGGCCGTGGGAGACCAGCAGCCCAGGAACCGCGCCTCCTGCTGCTTTCTGCCCGGCTTGCCACACTCCCACCTCACCCAGACCAAGGGGACCCAGAATAAAATGGCCTGCACTACCCAGAAAGAAGGGACTTTATTGGGGCATGGGGAAGCTGAGGCGGTGGTTGACCCCAGTCGAGGCCGGAGGGAGAGGCCAGCTCGGTTCTCAGTTGGATGGAGAAGGGCCGGACAGCTTCATTGGTGAGATTGCTGTAGTGGCATTTGTCAATGGAAAAATTGCAGTTTTGCAGCAGGAACGAATCAATTTCACAACATGAAGTTCAAGGAGGGGCTGGTAGATGGCATCTTCCCTGGCGCAGACTTCAGACCTGGGCTGGTCCTTCAGGACTCCTGCTGACCCGGAGGGCACTCTGGGCTCCTCTGGTCTGGGTCCTCGGACGGGCATGTTACTTTCGGCCGGGGATCCCAGCCTGCGCTAACCTCAAGGCTTCCGCTCCTCCTGGGAAGAAGGGCCAGTCAGCACACCCAGGAGTAGGGTGGGGCGGTTTGGGCCCCTGGACCACCTCCTCATCGGCCCGGAGCCGCTCCGGGAGCTTTGGGTCCCAGCCCGGAGGGACTTCCCAGGGGAGGGGGGCGCGGGGATGCGCTTTCTTGGGCCCAGCGTCCTGGTGCCGCCGCGGGGAAGGGGGGGGGGGAAGGGGACACACACACACGTATGATGGGGGGAAAGAGTTGGGGGGGGGGAATAGAGTGATAAAGGGGAACCCACCTGTTCCAGGCTGTTCTCTGAAGCCTTTCTGCGGGGGGGCCAGGTCACCGCCAGTTTTCCATCGCTCCTGATTGCTGCGGGGAAAGGGGCGCTCAGCCGGGGTCGCTCCTCCTCTCGCCGGCCGGAGGCGGCCGGGACAAAGGAGGCAGGCCGCACCCCTTAAACACACACAGGTGTTCACACACACACACACACACACCACCGTCCCCTGGAAGCCTCTATTCTGAGGGAGGAAGGACGATCCGAGAGTGGCAGAACCCAGGCAGGGTTTCCTGGGACACCCCCCCCCCCAAAAAAAAAAAAAAAACCACAAAAACAAAAACAAAAAAACAACAGGAAGACATCTGAGTCTTCCCTTCCCCCACCGCGGTCCTGGGTGAGGTGTACCTGGGATGACCCCTCCACGCAGGGAGTGGAGCCCAGAGTAGGCAGCCCAGAAGGTGAACGGGGAACGGAAAGATGAGAGGGGGCCCCAGGTAGGTAGGTATCTGGGAACCAGGGGAACCCTCCCCCCCCCCCCCCCAGCCAGAAAAGGGGCCGCTGGAGCGCCGGGGAGCCCCAGTCCCGGAGCGGGTGGCTTACCCATCAGGCTGGGCGCCGGCTCCCTGGCCTCGGCAGCGCCGCCGTAGACGCTGAGCCGCTGGCGCTGCAGCTCCCGCTCGCGCTCCTGCGCCTCCCGCACCTCCTGCTCCAGCAGCGACGGCGCGAGGGGCGGCGGCGCGCGCGCCAGCACCGGGCACCGGCCCTGCGCGGCCGAGTGCGGCGGGCTGAGCGGCTCCCGCGGCCGCGGCGGGCCCGCGCCGTCCTCCTCAGCGGGCGAGGAGCCGGCCCCGCCCGCGGCCTCGAAGAAGCGCATGAGCTCGCCCAGCGGCTGCGGCGGCGGCCGGGGGCGCGGCTCCGGGGCCGCGGGGCGCGCCAGCGCCGCCTGCCGGTGAGCCTCCCGCTCGATGTCGCGCTGCATCTGCGCGCCCGCCCGCGCGCGCTCCACGGCCCGCGGGAGCGCGGGGCCCGGGCCCGGCAGGTTGAGCACCGGCCGCAGGCGCAGCTCCACGAGTTCGCGGCCCGCGCGGCCCGGGCTCAGGCCCCGGCTCCGGCGCAGGCTCTCCTCGCGTTCGCAGCTGCGGCGGATTTCGCGCTCGATGGGCGTCTCCATGAGCGGCTATTCTGGGGGGATGTTAGCGGGAGGATCTGGGCGCAGTGGAAAACGCTGCCGTGGAGCTTCCCAGTCGAACCCGGAGGAATAGATCCCGGGACCCGCGGCGCTTCTGAGTCGTCGCTGCCTGGCCCCGGAGTCACAGCGCCCCGGCGGGCATGGCCCGGAGCTCCGCGCCCTGCCCCGCTGGTGGCTGGAGGACTTCGCTAGCTTGCTCGGGGGTCTCGGCGTCCTGCTCTGCAGAGGGCACGGGCTCTTGGCCGCCTGGCCTGGGCACTGTGGTGACCTGTCCCGGCCCAGGGACTTCGCTGTTGGATCCCGGGGGGCTCTTCCAGCGACCCCAGGGCGCCACTCTCCGTCCGGCCTGGGAGCCTTGGTGTCGGAATTGAGAGTTGAGAGCAGCCCAGAAGCCCGAGTTTTCAGCGCCGGAGTGGGGATGCCCGCACCTGGGACCCAGTGCCCTGCGCGGCACCTGGGACCGAAGTCTCCGCCCGTGGGTTCCAGGGCGTCGCCCGCACCAGCCGTTTCTCTGACCGGCCTCTGGCCTCCCAGAACGGCCCCTCGGGGCAGGGCAGGCCGGGCACCTCCCCCTGCACCTGCCCAGAGGGCTCCGGCCCCGCCCCGGCCCCGCCCTCGGGGCCAGCGCGCCTCGGCAGGGCACCCGGCTTGGTCCACTGGCGCGTTTCGGGTCAGCTCAGGGCGCTGGACTTCCCTAGACCCGGTCCACCGCCTGGGGGAGGGGGCAGTGTGGGTGCCGTTTCACACACAGGGTGCCACCCTGGCACCTTTTCATCCCCGTGTGCCCTGGAGGCGTGGCGCCAGCCATCCACCGAGCTGGGCCTCGGAGCCACCGGCCCTGTGGTAGGGGTATCCCCGGAAGACATCTCTCTGGGGCCTTGCCCGCCCCCGCCCAGCCGGTGCCAGAGAGCAGCGGCGCCCCTGGCCTCTGGGCTGTCCGTCACGTTCCTCCCTGCGGCGCCCAGCGCAGGCTGGAGGGGGCGCCAGGAGCATGGGCGAGAGCTCCTGGGCTCAGCTAGGCTCCCAGCGGTGGCCACGCTCAGATGCTTCTTTCCTTCACCTTCTCCCGGAAAAGACCCCAAAGTATACCCTTGGCCAATTCATTCCCAGGCGGAGGGGAGAAGGAGGGACAGGCCCGGGGCGCCCAGGATTCAGCAGAGGGACTGCGTTTGAAAGGCAGTTCTCTTGGGCTCAGGCGGCTGGGAAGGCCCAGAGAGAAAGCCAGGCTTGCAGGAGGCAGCAGCTCCCTGAAGCGAGGGCCAGATCCTGGCCCTCCCCCTGGGAGATCAACGCCCAGGGACGCTGATGATTCTTTTCCCCAGGTTCTCTCCAAATCCGCCCCCCTGCCCTGACCATTCTTAGGTGACCAGGAAGAAAGCTGTAATGACCTAGAGAAAGTGGTGGGGCCACCCAGCCTCAGAAACCCCCAATAATCTCTCCAACTCTGACCCTTCCTTCCCCCAACTCTGCCTTCCTTGGCCACTCCTCTCTCTTTCCACTCTCTCATTCAGCTCCCTCCTGGGTTGCAATCTCAAACTACTGCTTTCCTCCCTCTGACCACCTGACCTCCTCCTTCCCTCTGACCCCATCGGCCTAATTGGAATTGGGCTCACCTGCATTCCATCCCACCAAGAACCCGAGAAAGCTTTCTGGAGAGGTGATGAGGATTAAAGCTGTGCTTCTGGGAGGAGTTGTCTGTACAGCGGCCTCTCCGTTTTACCGCCCCCGGCCCTCCACCAGCCATGCTCATTCTGCTCTTGGTCCCCCATCCCACGGAGCTTTCTCCGTCCAAGGGCACTGATGACATTCGTCTGTCAGACCCAGCCACCGGCTCCCCTCTGACTTCCTCTCTAGCTCCTTGATCTCCAGGAATACCACCTCTCCTGCTTGTCCTCCTACCCCCAGAGCACCCCATTTTCAGTTCACCTATTATTCTGTTCACCTATAGCCACAGGCTTCTTTCCCCTCTGGCTTCCACTGGGGCTGGCTCACGGGGAGAGGAGAGTGAGGTCAGCATGTTAATCCCAGGTGCCCTCAGATGGACAAAGTTGACTGTGTCCCTCCCTGCAGGTAGCAGCTCTGCACAGCTTGATAGCGGGCTCTCTCTCTCTCTCTCTCTCTCTCTCCTTTCTTCCTCTCCCTAAGGACAAGGTGTGGTCTGAGCTCCTGGCTTCTAACCCAGAGTGTGAACAATGCTTTGATTGTCCCCCTACACCTCTGTAAACCGACTCTATTAATTTCTCACCCATTACTCAGTTTGGGCGCACAATCTCTTTCCTGCTGGTACTAGGACCCTCACAAATCCCAGGCTCATGCTTTAAACACCATCTCTCTGCTCTCGTATCCCAAACTTACAACTCCAGCTTTGACATTTCCCCAGGGTTTGTGACTTACAACAGTTTCCAGTCTAATATCAAACCGGACACTTTCAAAACCGAACCCTTGGTGTCTTCCAGCTCCACTCCTCCTTATGTATATGGTATCTCATCCATTCCGATTTCCATGCCCCAAACCTAGGTCTCGGCCTCAATTTCTCTCTTCCCCTCAGCCACCCTTTCCCGTTCAATTCATCTGGATTGGATTGCTGTTGGGTCTGCTGGCTCTGCCTTCAAAACATTCTGGATTTGTCCACCTCACCCTCATCCCAGCCACTTCCCCTTCCTCCAATGGCTCTCCACCAAATTTAGAAGAAAAATTCAAGCTCCCTACCCCAGGCCAATGGCTCTGCCCACTTCTCAGATCTCATAACGCTCTCTCCCTCCATCATTCACTTGTGAAGGCCCTGTGCTTCCTGTATCCCACCTCAGGGCCTTTGCACTTGTCTTTCCTTTTTCCTGGGATGACTCCTTACATGGCTGGCTTTTGCTATTTAAGTCTGGGCTCAGATGTCACTTCTTCAGACAAGTGGTCCCTGGTCATCTAGCCTACATCACAAAGAGCCCTTCTCCATCACTCTACCCCTGTTGTTTTCTGCAACTCACCCTTATATTGCATTCATCAGCAATCACCTTTATTTATTTGTTAATTGTACATTATCTCTCTCCCCCAATAGAAGGCGAGCCATGTTACTTTTTGGTCTGTCTTGCTCACCTCTATACCAACACTCCATGCCTAGAACAGTGCTTAATACACAGCAGAGACTTAAGACTTATTATTTTATTTTTATAAAGTATTTTTTAATATATATTTTATTGATTTTTTTTTTTTTTTTACAGAGAGGAAGGGAGAGAGGTAGAGAGTTAGAAACATCGATGAGAGAGAAACATCGATCAGCTGCTACTTGCACGCCTCCTACTGGGGATGTGCCTACAACCAAGGTACATGCCCTTGACCGGAATCGAACCTGGGACCTTTGGCTCAGTGGATAGAGCGTCTGCAGGCTGATGCTCTATCCACTGAGCCAAACCGGTTAGGGCTTAAGAATTATTATTGCATGATAGTCACTAGGCCTACCTCAATGTTGAGAATAAGGAAATAAATCAGACTTGCACATCGCTATTGAGTTTGAAATTGAGAGCCAGACACAATATTAAACAGTCTTGCCTCAATGTGGAATCCAGGACAAGAGTGCAAAGGAAAGCCTATAGACTATACATCTGAAATGTTAACAGTTATAACATTGTTAACCTGAAAAAAAAAGGCCAAAGTGACAGGCAACAAGCATTTATTTGAGATCCAAAAGAATAGCTATTTGGGAAGCCCTGAATCAGGCAGAAACCCAACCAGGATTCCGATTAGGAGTCAAAGGCAAGGGATATTTATGAGAAAGGGAAGGTGAACAATTCTAGCAATAAAAGGAATGCTTTTCTATTGGTGCAGATGAGCTAACATAGTGATGCTAATTCTAAACTAGCATCACTAGTTTTAAATTTTCAGTAGTCATATATCTGCTTTCTTGTTATCTTTGCAAACAGTTCTTTGGGGCACAATGTTGCATTGGGCCCAGTTTGAAGGTTATTTTGTCCTGTGGGTTTTTTCCCTTCCCTTTTAATATATTTTTATTGATTTCAGAGAGGAAGAGAGAGATAGAGATGGAAACATCAATGATGAGAAAGAATCATTGATTGGCCGGGGCTGGTGCGGCCAGGCCCGGAGCAGCGGCTGCCAGGCTGGGAGCGGCCAGGCCCGGGGGAGCAGGCGGGTCGGGTGCGGCCAGGCCCGGAGCAGCGGCTGCCAGGCTGGGAGCGGCCAGGCCCGGGGGAGCAGGCGGGGCTGGTGCGGCCAGGCCTGGAGCAGCGGCTGCCAGGCTGGGAGCGGCCAGGCCTGGAGCAGCAGCAGCCAAGTCCAGAGCAACTAGGTCGGGAGCGGCAGTGACCAGACCCGGAGCAGCTGGTTGTGTAACGAACGAGAGCAACAGAGGCCAGGCCCTGAGCAGCCAGGCCCGGAACAGCTCGCTCCTTGCCTGCCCCTGCCCCACGGCTGCTTCTCAGACTTGGCTGGAAACTTTCGTGGGAACTTGAGGGTCTGCTGAATCAAGTGATGAAGGCTTAGATCTGGATGTGCTGAGTTAGTTTAGGACTGGGGTGTTGATCTGTGAGTGCCTTGGGTGGGGCCTGGATGAGGCTGGTGGACCTATTGGGAAATGTCTTTTGTGTGAAGTGTATCATTGGGCATGTGGAGGTATTATTGATATGAGAAAATGCTAAGTAACTGATTTACTATCTGAAAAGGGATTTACTATCCGTGAAAGGGAGGGAAGAAGAGACTGAACATGAACTGTGCACCTATGGATGAGGACAATGGGGGATGGGGAGGGGGGAGAGGGTAGGGTGGGAACCTGGTGGAGGGGGGAAGAAATGAGGAACCTTTGTAATAATATGAACAATAAAGATTTATTTAAAAAAAATAAATAAAAACCAAGGGAATTAAAAAATCTGAAAAAAAAAAAAAAAAGAATCATTGATTGGCTGCCTCCTGCTTGCCCCTACTGAGGATAAAGCCGGCAACCCAGGCGTGTGCCCTTTACCAAAATCAAACCTGGGACCCTTCAGACCACAGGCAACACTCCATCTGCTGAACCAAACCAACTAGGGCTTTTGCTCTGTTTATTTTAATTTTTTAAAAATATATATTTTATTAATTTTTTTATAGAGAGGAAGGGAGAGGAATAGAGAGTTAGAAACAATGATCAGCTGCCTCCTGCACACCCCCTATTGGGGATGTGCCCGCAACCAAGGTATGTGCCCTTGCCCGGAGTCAAACCTAGAACACTTCAATCCACAGGCTGACACTCTATCCACTGATTAGGGCACATTTCTAAAGGTTTGAGAGGGAAAGACATGAAAGGCAATTCCTTTAGGGTGGCAGCTCTGGCTCCATTTTATTTATTTATTTTTTAAAATATATTTTATTGATTTTGTACAGAGAGGAAGGGAGAGAGATAGAGAGTTTGAAACATCGATGAAAGAGAGTCATCGATCAGCTGCCTCTTGCACACCCCCTATTGGGGATATGCCTGCAACCAAGGTACATGCCCTTGACCGGAATCGAACCCGGGACCTTTTAGTCCCCAAGCTGACGCTCTATCCATTGAGCCAAACCGGTCCCGGCTCTGGCTCCATTTTAAAGTGGCTCCATTTATATAATTATTATTGTTGTTGTTACATTTATAAAATCAAACTACAGCCCTAGCTGGTTTGGCTCAGTGAATAGAGCATTGGCCTTCAGACTGAAGAGTACCGGGTTCGATTCCAGGCAAGGGCATATACCTGGGTTGCAGGCTCCATCCCCAGTAGGGGTGAGCAGGAGACAGCCAATCAATGATTCTTTCTCATCATTGATGTTTCTATCTCTCTCCCTCCCTTTTCCCTTACTTTCTGAAATCAATAAAAGTATTTTTTTAAAAAAACAAACTACAAGCACTTAAATGGAATATATTCTTTCCTCTGAAAGATGAGAACAACCCATATATTCATTAGTACTGAACTAATAAAGAAAACATGGTCCGTCCACAGAGTGGAATAGTATTCAGCCATAAAAATGAATAAAGCACTTACTTATACTACAACCTTGGGCTGAGTGAAAGAAGCCAGGCACAAAGGCCATATGTTATATGATTCCATTGATATAAAATTTCCATAGAGACAGAAAGCAGACTGGTGGTTGCCAGAGGCTGGAGGAGAGAGAATGGGAAGTGACTGCTTGAGGGGTGTGGGGGAGGGACCTGGGCAGATTTCCTTTTGGGGTGATGAAAAAGTCCTGGAATTTATTTATTTATTTATTTATATTTATATTTATATATATTTTTTAAAGTCCTGGAATTTAGATAGTGGTAAAAGCTGCACAATATTGTGAATGGACTAAATGGCACTAATGAGAAATTTTATGTGTATTTTACAACTAAAAACCAATTTTAAAAATACGTCCTCTCTTCATATCCTGGCAAACACACTTTTAGAAATACCTAGAAGGCCAGGTTTAGTGGACATTTTGAATCCCTAGGAGTTTTGTACTAGAATGTGGGGTACAGGGAACCCCCAGTGCTCAGTCTGCCCCTTTTTGCTTCCCACCTCCAACTCTGCTCTGCAGAGCAAGGGACCTTGTGCAGTGCCTCGGGCCCTGTCCTACCTGTCCCAGCTCTTTCCTCACCCTCCTCCCTACAGCTGCTCTGGGCCACTTCTGGGGTCAGGGTACGGGAAGTGGCAGGAGAGGCACACCCTGGCGGCAGGGTCAGCCTCAGGAAACTAAAGCTTTCTCAGTGAGCCCCAGTCCACTGGGGCAGCCCTGGCTGGTGGCTCAGTTGGTTGGAGTGTTGTCCCATTCACCAAAAAGGTTTTGCATTTGATTCCCAGTCAGGGAATATACGTGGGTGTGGGTTCAATCCCCAGTTGGGGCACATATGGGAGGCAACCAATCAATGTGTCTCTTCCTCTCCCTTCCTCTCTCTAAAAAATCAATAAGAGGCCGAAACAGATTTGGCTCAATGGATAGAGCATCTGCCTGCGGACTGGGAGGTCCTGGGTTTGATTCTGGTCAGAGACATGTGCCTTGGTTGCGGGCACATCCCCAGAGGGGGGTGTGTTGGAGGCGGCTGATAGATGTTTCTCTTTTGTCAATGTTTCTAACTCTCTTTCCCTCTCTCTCCCTTCCTCTCTAAAAAATCAATAAAATATATTAAAAATAAATAAAAAATAAAAAATCAATAAAAGAATATCCTCACTCTAGCTGTTTTGGCTCAGTGGATAGAGCATTGGCCTGCGGACTGAAGAGTCCCAGGTTCGATTCCTGTCAGGGTCATATGCGTAGGTTGTGGGCTCTATCCCCAATAGGGAGCGTGTAGCAGGCAGCCGATCAATGATTCTCTCTTATCATTGATGTTTCTCTCTCTCTTCCTCTCTAAAATCAATAAAGATATATTATTTTTTATTTTTTTAATATATTTTATTGATTTTCCATAGAGAGGAAGGAAGAGGGCTAGAGAGCTAGAAATGTCGGTGAGAGAGAAACATTGACCAGCTGCCTCCTGCACACCCCCTGTTGGGGATGTACCCGCAACCAAGGAATCAAACCCGGGACCTTTCAGTCCGCAGACGGACGCTCTATCCACTGAGCCAAACCGGTTTCGGCAAGATATATTATTTTTTTTTAAAAAATATTCAGATCATGATTAAAAAAACACACCAAAAACCAAAAAGCCCATATGGCTCAGTGGTTGAGCATCTACCTGTGAACCAGAAGGTCATGGGTTTGATACTCATCAGGGCATATGCCTGGGTTGTGGGCTCAATCCCCACTAGGGGATGTGCAGGAGGCAGCCGATCAGTGATTCCCTCTCATTATTGATGTTTCTGTCTCTCTTTCCCTCCCCCTTCCTCTCTGAAATCAATAAGAGAATTTTTTGTTGTTGTTGTTTTAAAAACCTTCCTTCTTATTTAAAAAGAACAATAACATTGGGACAAGGAATTTGGAGGTCCCAGTACCCCAATAGGAACGAGAGGAGGAAGGTGCAGGATGGAGGGCACCTTCTCTTTGCTCCACGGGAGAGTCTTAGCTGAAGTGTGCTCTTCATAGCAGGGAGGTCAGGCAAGGACCTTTGTCCTTGAGGTTCCTCTCTTTCTTTCTTTCTTTCTTTCTTTCTTTCTTTCTTTCTTTCTTTCTTTCTTTCTTCCAACATATTTTATTGATTTTTTTTTTACAGAGAGGAAAGGAGAGGGAGAGGGAGAAAAAGCTAGAAACATCGATGAGAGAAAAACATCGATCAGCTGCCTCCTGCACACCTCCTAGTGGGGATGTGCCCATAACCAAGGTACATGCCCTTGACTGGAATCGAACCTGGGACCTTCCAGTCCATAGGCCGATGCTCTATCACTGAACCAAACCGGTTAGGGCGAGGTTCATGTCTTTCAATTGCACAGTGTGACCAAGGCTGTGCAATTAGGGGAAGCACTGGAGATTATTGGGAGACCAGGCAGGAGAGCAGAAAGGGACTGCTGGCACTTTAAAAATGGCATGGGGGTGCAGAAGAGAGACCCTCACGATTTGGGTGGAAATTTCTCTGGACATTCCTCATCACAAACCCACCCCTAACTGTTACAGCATCTAAGGGTCCAGTGTCCTGGAAGCCACTTAATCTAACTCTCACTTTTCGAAAAAAGGGAAACTGAGGCCTGGAAACCTGAGGCGAGTTGCCTATAGTTACCCAGCGCCCAGGTCTTCTGATTCCCAGAGAGCTCAGAATCCTGTAGCTGGATTAGTCCCTCCCTCCCCCCCCTGGAGCCAGGGTCCAAGAAGGGAGGGAGTAAGCAGTGTGCAAGAATAGCCAGCATGAATGGCGTGCAATGGTGCTCACATGTGAGGGACCCACAGTGGGCAGACTGGGGTTGAGATGTCGGGCATGCCAAGTGGAGGCCCCGTTCTCCGAGGAGGCTCTGAGACACCCCACGCGGCCCACATGCCCCACCAGGCATGTGAGAGCATATTTGCCGGGAGGCAGCCCGGTGCGGCAAGGAGGCCAGTAGCTGGTAAATAATTTATCAGGACAGCTGATAGTACCTCCCCAGAACTGCCCGCCAGCCCCCAGCCCCCCTCACCCCGTGCACCTCCCGCCTCCCAGCCCAAACCAGCTGGACTAGCTCTCCCGGAGCCTGGCCGGCGCCCCCCCACTCCTGCCAGCCCAGGCACAGCCTCCGTCCAGGGCACCTTCAGGCGGGCAAGCAGGTAGTGAGCCCCAATCTTGGACATCTGAGGCCAGAACGCGGGCTTCTGGGCAGAGATGGCCCTGCAGAGCCAGGTGCGGTCTCCGGCCACACCCATGTAAGTGCCCAGGGTCAGGGGGGGCAGGTGGGCAGGGCCTGGGAGGGCTCGTGGGGGACGCTGACCTTTCCATTGGGGTGAGAGCCCCAGGTGGCCTCTCCGGAGAAGACCAGGGGACGTGGAGGGATGCCAGCAGCCAACCTCGAAGGCTCTTGGTGACCCCCTCCCCAGAGAGATGGGCGGGAGAAGTGAGCCCCCCCCTTGGGGGGGATTTTCTGTGGAGGCTTCAAGCCCCAAGCCCAGCCGGGGGGTGGGGCTATGCCTGGGGTGGGGGTGGGGTGGGAACCACAGGGCTCCTGCTGCCCCCTTTCGCCTCTAGGAACACCCCTCGGTGTTCACCTCCTATGGGTGGAGGAGATGTTTGAAATCCAGCAGGAAGAGTTAATAACTCCTAACCGGGGAGAGATGATGGCAAAATGGAACCGATCACCTGCTTTATGAAATGGCCACCCACTGTTCCTGGTGGCAACAGGTCACAGCGATGAACGCCGCTCTCGCAGTGTTAGCAATAAACAGTATCAGATGCATGCACACAGCATTTTAATATTGCGAGTGTGAGGAGGGCCTTTAGAAGGAGGAGGGTGAAGGGGGCTCCAGAGGTTTGTACGAAATTCTGGAACAGGGGATCCCCCCCTCACCCCAGGGACCCCAATTCGGTTTCCTCACTCTTTTGGGTCCCCCATTGCATTATTCACCAACTACAAACCTGGTTGCCAGGCAACGGGAATCCGATCCCCCCCAGCAAGGAAGAGGCTAAGCGATTGCATCTTGGGGGTGGGACGGCAGAGGGGGGACTTCAGCCCGTCCCCAGGGGTAAACCTATTCCGTAGAGGGTCTGGCCTTCCTGCAAACCGTGACTTCCACCCCCTGCCCCGACTGAAGTCACAGACCCGCCCCCCCAGGCTTGTCTCTGGCCGCCTGGCTGCTAAGACAGGGTGCCCGGACCCTCCTCTCTCCCTCGGGGGTCCTAGTGTTTGGGGCCTGAGAGCTTCCAGTTCCAATCCCGCCTCAGTGACCTTGGGCAAGTCTTTTTGCCACGTCTTAGAGCCTCAGTTTCCCCATCCATTTACCTCCTAGAGATCTTTGGGAGGATCCAATGAACTATATGGGCAAAGCATTTCGCAGCCCCTGGCACATGGGATGTACCGGGTCATGGTTGAGCGATTTTTACTCTCCTTTGGAATGTCAACTCAGCAAAGAGTCAACGACAGCGTCTCCAGATCAGGGCAGAGCGGGGGAGGGGCGGGTGGCTGCGGTGGCCGATCGGAAGCCCCGCAGAGCACTTAGGGCACTATATATAGTAAGCGCTAAATACGTGCTGAGATTATAGCCGCGTGGCGTGACCAGAGAGGATCTGGAAGGCCCTGCCGGCGTTTGGGCGAGGAGGCTCACACTCACCCCATGGTGTCAGCGCTCACATGAATAAATGTCGGAGGGCTTGCCCTGTGTGTGCCCTGGGCTAAGTGTCCAGAACAACAGGCAGGTGTATCCTTCCAGAGACTGGCCTGCGAAGCACCTGCACCTAGTTAGCGCTCCATGCATGCCTGTGGAGATAGGTTGGTACAGCGATGGGTGTCTCCTAAGTGCCCTGCAGAACCAGTCAGTTTTCAGGTTCCAGAGGGGGTCAGGGGCGGCCCGGGGGGGGGGCGGCTGCTGGGAATCGGGATCCTGGGATGCTGCAAGGAGGACAACGATGACAGTATCTCAGGTTAAACCTTAAAGAGCACACCCTCCTCCCCTCCTTTCAGCTCAGAGTCCAGGGCTAAACAGCATGACTCGGTGACCCTTGCCCCCTGGGGGTGGGGGTTGGCAGGTGGAGAAGGCCGCTCTGGAGTTACCATGGCAATGGTGAGTGGCCACAGCGGTGAGATGGACACTTCTCTCCCCAGACCCTTTCCCCCCACCCTCCAACCCAGACCTTAAGGGATCCTGGGTAGGCCGGAACCGGTTTGGCTCAGTGGATAGAGCGTCGGCCTGCAGACGAAGGGTCCCGGGTTCGATTCCGGTCAAGGGCATGTACCTTGGTTGCGGGCACATCCCCGGTGGGGGGTGTGCAGGAGGCAGCTGATCGATGATTCTCTCTCATCGATGTTTCTAACTCTCTATCCCTCTCTCTTCCTCTCTGTGAAAAATCAATAAAAAATAAAATAAAAATAAATAACGCTGTTATGAACAAGTTTAAAAAAATAAAAATAAAAGGGATCCTGGGTAGGAGCCAAAAGCCAGAGAGGGTGTGGAATCTGACAGGGCCACAGCATGTTGGAGGTCGAGAGTCTCTGTAGGATGGACTGGAAATGGTTTTTATAATTCATGATAGGCATTGTCGGTCGTGGGGATTATAAAGGCATAATGAGTAATAAACTATGCTACTGTTTTTGGAGCACTACGTTTCCCCCTGCATGGATGCTTCCTGGTTAGGGCCTCTCTCTGCAAGGTCAGGGTCACGCTATCCAGGTCCATTTCACAGATGAGGAAACTGAGGCTCAGAGAGGTGATGGCAGACCTAGGAAGGGCTTTGGCTCAGCCTGTCATGGTCTCTGCTCCTGCCTCCTCGCAGGACTCCTACCTCTCCTTTGCCCCAACTCCTCCCTCCCCCGTGCAAAGGGGAAAGAGAAGGAACGCTGGGCTCTAGTTGTTTTCCAAGCAGCTCAGGGACCTGGGGTTAGAGAGGGTCATTCAAGAGGTCAGCCTGCTGAAGGGGGGGCCCGGGAGACCCCCTCCCAAGCCCCCCGCCCTCTCCCCACAGACCCATGGCCGAGAGCTCCCTCTACCGGCAGCGTCTAGAGGTCATCGCGGTAAGTGACGCCCTCCCCGTGAGCCCGGCCCAGGGGCCTGGGCAACCCCAGTCTCAGGCTTCTTTCTCGCCTCCCTTCTATCCCGGGGAGCTGGCCTCGCGCTGGGAAGTTGGGGAGCAGCACTCTCAGCTCCAGTCCTGACTGGGGCGCCCATCCAAACCCTCAGGGCTCCACTCCCTAGTTCCTCTGTCTGGCCACCACCACCCTCAAGTGGGTGAGGCTACAGCCCTGCACTTCCAGAGTCTGCATCGCCCGACGCTCCATTCTTGAGCCCCCAAATCCCAACCATCCCATGTGTGAATCCCATTTCTCCGACCCCCATCTCACCAACCTGCATCTCTCTGAGACCTCACTTCTGGATTTTCACCTCTGAACCCCCATGTCTAAATGTTCATCTCTCTGAGCTCCCATCACTCTGACCCCCAAGTCTGTCCCTCATCTCTCAGACCTGCATCCCACTAACTGCCATCCCTCTCTCATCCCTCCTCTCTGGATCCTCATCTCTCGGCACCCCCATATCTCAATGTTCATTTCTTTGGACCCCAACCCTCTAGCCTCACATCTGTAACCTCATCTCTCTGAACCCCCACCCCTCACTTAACCCCCATCTCTTTGTCCTTCACCTCTGCGTCCCATCTCTCTGTCCACTTGCTGCACCTCCATCTCCCTGGACCCCATCTCCGCAGCCCAGGCTCGATGAGTCCCCGGGGAGCTGGACCAGCGCGGAGAAGTGGGGAAGCAGCGTCTGCCCCGCCTGGGGTGCCCCACCCAGGTCCTCAGGCCCCTCCGCTCCCCAGTTCCTCTGTCTCATCACCACTCCCCATCTCCTTAGCCCCCTTCCCTGGATTCCCTCATCTGGACCTCCATCCCTGAACCCCGTCGCTCTCCATCAGTCCCACAGCTCGGGACCCCACCGCTCTGCCTGCCTCTCCTCTAGATTTCCATCCCGAGGCTCGCCCCGCCCCCGATCGCGGACCCCATTCCCGGAGGCTCCGCAGAATCCGGGCGCGGCAGGCCCCGCCCCCGCCCCGCCCGCCCCGCTGCTGAGTCAGCGCCTCGCACCCCGTGCCCGCCGGCCCGACGGCCGCCCGCCGCCCCGGGAGCCCCGCCGAGCCCCGCGGAGGAGGGAGGGCCACGGGGCGGAGGGTCCTGGCCGGCGGGCAGCTCCGTCCTCTGCGCGCAGGAGAAGCGGCGGCTGCAGGAGCAGATCCGCGCGGCGCGCGGGGAGCTGGAGGAGGAGAAGCTCCGCGTGGAGCGGCTCAAGGTTGGTGGGTGGGGAGCGGGGGCGCCTCCCGGCCTGGGCCCGGCGGCGTGTGTGTGTGTGGGGGGGGGGGGGCGGGGGGTGCCTGCGACGATAGGATTCGGTGCTCGGGACCCTAGGAGCCTCTAATTCTGGGGGTGCAGTCGGGGGCACAGGTCCCCGCTCTGGGGCGGCTGTCTGCTCCTGTGGGTGAGAACAGGGGGTGGTGGTGGTGGGGACATGCGTGCCCCCCTTTGGGAAGAGTGTGGGGACAGTGAAAACGTCCAGCTTGGCGGTAGGGAGGAGCCAGGAGAGACTCTGATTTCACCTTTGGGATGTCTGTCCCATTCTGGAAGGGTCCGGGAGGGTGATGGGGCCTTTTTCCAGCCTGGGGAAGCTGTGGGCTGGTAATGGGGTGTCTCACCCACTAGTAGTGTTGGGAGGGGGGGCAATCAGGGCATGTATCCAGCCTGAGGAGAAATGTCTGCCCCGCCTGAGTCATTGTGGGGCTGTGAGACATCTGTCCAGCCTGGTGGCGGGGAGGGGCAGGGAGGACCCTGCCCAGGGCAGGGAGGACCCTATGGCCGGCTGGAGCCTCTTTCCGTGCCCAGAGGAAGTCTCTTCGGGAGCGGTGGCTCATGGACGGGGCTGAGGGACCCGAGGGACCGGAGGAAGCTGCCTTGCAGGACCCCGAGACCCCCGAGGGCCAAGCGCAGGACCGCATCCGGAACCTGGAGGACAGCTTGTTCACGTGAGTGGGGCCCCTGCCTGCCGCCTTGGCCCCAGACTGGCCGGGCCGGGACCCTGGGTCCGCTGCCAGGAGGTGGCAAATTGAGACTGGGGTGGGAGGGACCCATTGAACCCCGGGGACTCGGCTCCCAGCAGCCCCCTTTCTTCCAGACTCCAGTCCCAGCTGCAGCTGTTGCAGAGCGCATCCACAGGTGCCCAGCACAAGCCCTCTGGCCGGCCCACCTGGCGCAGGCAGGTGAGGAAGAGCAAGAGGCTGGGGCGGGGGTGTGGCCACAGGGCTCTGCGAGTGCCGTCTGGATGCTCGGTCCTCTACTTCTTTGTTCTTGGGCGAGCCGTCGTCCTTATCCGCGCCTCCTGGTCCCCGCCTCTGAAAGGAGGATGTCAGCCCACACTGGGAGAGGTGTGAGGGAGGGTCCACAGGATCTCGGCTGAACCCTGGGAACAGGCACCACAGGATGTGTTGGTGTCTAGTTTCCGTTATGGTCCGAATGAGCGGGGAAGGCAGACCGTGTGGAGGAGAGCTCATGGGATCCAGTCCCAGAGGTGGGAACAGGTCACCAGGAGACGCGCGTAGGATTTGAGGCATCTGCCCAGGTGTGGATTGTTTTTGTTTTGTTTTGTTTTCATTTTGGTAATGCCTTTATTCAGATAGCATCCACATGCTCTGCACAGGATTTGAAAACCAGGATACTTCACAGTAACATCTGGCGGCCGGGGTTACCCTGAAGTCCAAGGTCCTGAGGGTCATTAGTGCCTGGCCACAGTGAGGTGCAGACTTTCCACAGTCTCCACCTCGCCCTCATGTCTTCCCTTAGCCCCCAAGGGCCTGTCCTAAAACAGAGGTGAACATCTGTCAATCAGCATGGGAAGCACTTGTTAGATTTTTAAAAATATATTTTATTGATTTTTTTTACAGGGAGGAAGGGAGAGGGATAGAGAGTTAGAAATATCCATGAGAGAGAAACATTGTTCAGCTGCCTCCTGCACACCCTCCACTGGGGATGTGCCCTCAACCAAGGTACATGCCTCTGACTGGAATCGAACCCGGGACCCTTCAGTCCGCAGGCCGATGCTCTATCCATTGAACCAAACCGGTCTCGGCAGCACTTGTTAGATTTTTGTGTGTGGATACACACACACACACACACACACACACACACACACTCTCACTCTAGAGGCCCAGTGCATGAAATTCGTGCACAGGTGGGGTCTCTAACCCTGCCAGTGATCAGGGCCAATCAGGGCCAGGGGAATCAGGGCAGGGCCAGAGAGGAGGCAACAGTTGCCAGGCCAGGCACGGAAGGAATGGGCGCTGGACACTGCCACTGCTGTCTCGGCACCCTGCCACTTCAGGGTTTCCCACCTCTCCCCTTCCTCCTTCCCTTGCTGCCACACCACCACCGTGGCAGGCGGGCAGTGGGCAGATTGGCTTCTGCCAGCTAGAAGGAAGGATGGGGCATGGGAGGTTGGCCACTGGCCCCGAGGAGGGAGCTGGCCCTTGGCCCCCCTAGGAAGGGGTCCTTGAGGAGGGACCACAGGAGGTTGGCTGGCCTGGGGTGAGGGGAGGAACTGCAGGAGGCTGGCCAGCCAGGGGAGGTTGGCTGTGGGAGTTTCACTGACCACCATGGGGCAGCTCCTGCATTGAGTGTTTTCTGCCCGGTGGTCAGTGTGTGTCATAGCGACCTGTTGTTCCAGTCATTCTGGTTGCTTAGGCATACACACATACACACACACACACACACACATATACTAGTGACCCGGTGCACAAAATTCGTGCACATTAAAAGGGGATTAATTAGAGGAAATAATTTAATATTGCTCTTTGCCCTTTCTCTATAATAGAAGTGTCAGAGATGAAAGGAAATTAGTAAAATGTATATGAAAACCTTCTTCCTGTCAGAGTCTGGGGCACACCATGGGACCCAGAGTCAAGTCCCACCCATCCACATGTACCTCAAAATTGTGTGAGACCCAGATCTGGCCAGCCCCTGCCTGCCCCCTCCCCCAACTGGGCTAGATCCAGACCCGGTTAGTCCCACCCTTGTCAAGCCCTGCTGAGTAGGGGGCATAGCCTCAGGTTCCCTGGCCTGGCACCAGGATTGGGGGGCATGGCCTGAGGTCCCCTGTCAAGCCCAGTCAGGCAGGGGGGTGTAGCCTCAGGTCCCCTGGCTCAGCACTGGGGTGGGCGTGGTCTGAGGTCCCCTATCAAGCCCTACCTGGTGGGGGGCACAGTCTGAGGTCCCCCGGCCTGGCCCTGAGGTGGGGGGAGCAGCCTGAGTTCCCCTAGCCCAGCACTAGGAAGGGAAGGGTACCTTGAGGTCCCCTGTCAAGCCCTGCCCAGTGGGGGTGTGGCCTGAGATCCCCTGTCAAGCCCTATGGGGGCAGGGGGCGGGGGAGGGGGTGTAGCCTCAGGTCCCTGCTGATTGCTCGTTAAGGCTCCTTAGGGGAACTTGGCCTCAGCTGTGGGTGCAGCCATCTTTTGTGAGTGATGGCCAATTTGCATATTCACTCTTTATTAGATAGGATATAGATATAGATATAGGTATACAAATAAGCCAGAACTTCCTTGCCAGAGATGCAAAAGGTATAAAGGTATGCTTCCTGGCTCAAGGAAGCTCACAGTCCAGATGAGGACATGGGTACAAAGAGTGAGAGGGGAGCCCTGGGTACAAAGCAGCTCAGAGGAAGCACCTTCATGAGGCTGAGGAATCAGGGAAGGCTTCCTGGAAGCAATTCCATTTATGCTGAATCTGGGTGAGGGCCAGGCAGGAGGGGAGAGGGAATTCCAGCAGAGGATGGACTCTGTAAAGGCATGGAGACTGGAGAGAGATTAGGATCAGAGGACTGTGAGGAGATCCACGGAGCTGGGCCTCGGCTCTCTGCACGGCTGCCCCCAGCTTCCCTCCCTGAGCCCATCTTCCTCTCTCTCCCTTCTTCACCCCAGTCCAGCCATGCTGACCCTCTTTCCTGTTCCTGGAACTTGCCTAGCTTATTGCAGCTCAGGGCCTTTGCGTTTGCTGTTCCCTCTGCCTGGAACGCCCTTCCCCACCTCTTGTCTCAAGGCTGGCTCTTCTCATCTTCCAAGTCTCTGTTTAATGTCATGTCTTCCCAGAAGCCCTCCTGCATCTTAAACCTACAGAAAAGGAGGCACCCCATCATCTCCCAGGCACTCCTTAGCCTCTCATCCTGCTTTTCTTTTTCCTGCCAAAGTCCTCACTCACTGGCATTATATGTTTGTTTATTTGTATTGATGACCTGCCTACTCCCATGGGAATGCATTTTTATTGATTTCAGAGAGGAAGGGAGAGGGAAATAGAGATAGAAACATCAACGATGAGAGAGAATCATTGATTGGCTGCCTTATGCATGCCTCCACTAGGGAGCCAGCCTACAACCCAGGCATGTGCCCTGACCGGGAATCCGAACCGTGACCTCCTGTTTCCTAGGTTGATGCTCAACCACTCAGTTACACTGGTTGGGCTGGAATGTGTGTTTTTTTTGTGTGTGTGTGTGTGTTTTTAATATATTTTATTGATTTTTTACAGAGAGGGATAGAGTTAGAAACATCGATGAGAGAGAAACATCGATCAGCTGCCTCCTGCATACCTCCTACTGGGGATGTGCCCGCAATCAAGGTACATGCCCTTGACCGGAATCAAACCTGGGACCTTTCAGTCCGCAGGCCAACGCTCTATCCACTGAGCCAAACCGGTTTCGGCTGTTTTTTTTTTGTTTGTTTGTTTGTTTTGTTTTGTTTTTGCCTCCTGAAGTCACTGTCTCCTCAACAGTGACATCACTGGCGAACCAGACTGCTCTGGGCCACGCAGGGAAGGAACAGGCATGCTGGGGCAGGGCCATGTGGGCAGCTGGAGATTTGTCACCAGACCTGGGGCCAACCCCTATCAGCAGCCTCAGCCTCGGGGAGGTGACTGGCTCCCTCAGGTGCCTTGGAAACCAGAGGAAAGGTCATCCAAGGGCCTATCATCTCTAGTTCCCTTACGTTACAGATAGGAAATCAGAGGCCCAGAGGTGACCGTGCCTCTTCCACAGTCACATGGCAAGTGAGGGGCAGATTCCAGCAGGGACTCAGCCCTCCCGTGTCCCAGCACGGAGCTGTGCCCTCCAGACATGTTTGGACTGAACGTTCTAATAGCAAACGGCTTAAGTGTCCCTTGTGGCAGTCTCAGTAGCTGTCAATACAGTAGATGCCTAATATAGAATACCAGCTGCATGCCACAGTATTAAGCACCTCCTGTGTACAAGGCACTGGATGGAGCAGAGGGCAGTAAGATGGATGAGGAAGGCTGAGATGTAGCAGACCGTTTGGATACTGAAGGTAATGGGGAGCCACTGAGGGAGTTTGAGCAGGGAAGGGGTACTGGCATGCAGGAGGCCAGAGGTGAAGACATGGATGGCCTGACCTTGTCTCTGTTACCCCTGCAGGGTCACCGTCCACTCTCCCAGCCCACTGCGGAGGCAGGGACTGAAGGTGGGTATTTTTGCCCCTAGGTCTGGGGGTCCCAGGAGGAGGGACCTGCACCTGGGTGGCCTGAATCTCACCCTGTCACCTTCCCTCTCTCCTGTCTTCCCCAGGTCAGACTGATCTGAACAAGAGAGCCTCTTGGCCAGCAGAGCCAGCGGGCACATCCCTGGAGTCCCTGGCCGAGCCCGGAGATGAGGCCGTTGGGGTTCTGCCAGCCCTGAGGCAGGTCCCTGGGGCAGCAGGGGTCTCCTCAGAAGCCAATGGCCCCTGCCCCAGACCCAGCCCCCCTCTGGAGCAGGAGCACAATCAGGGGGTGACAGCAGCATATGGGGGGGTGGGCGAAGCCAAAGGAGGGGGTGTGGTAAAGGTGGTGTGGGAAGGGCTGAGGCCTACAGAGGACTGTGCCAGGGGGGCCACGGGCCCAGAGCTGGAGGCGAAGGTAGAGGAGATGGTGCTGGAGGCCATTGGGGACAGGCTGGAAGCCAGCCGCCCTGAGCTCCCGTCCTGGGTGAAGGAGGACAGGGGAGTCGTGGAGGTGGTCTGGGAAGGGGTGGGAGGCACAGAGGGCAGTGACTCTGAGGCTTCGGGGGAGGCTGGCAGGGGCCCACCGAAGGCGCAGCCCAGCTCCCCGCAGACCAGCTCCCCGAGGCTGCAGGAGGAGCGAGAGGGAGAAGCTTCTGGAACAGGGGAAGGGCCTCCCAGGGGCAGCTCTGATGGCTTTAGGCAGGGGGGCCCTGGGGGAGAGGAGGGATCCTTTATCTGGGTGGAGAGAGTGACCCTCAGCGAGGAGTGGGAGGAACTTATGGTGGAAGGGGTGGAAGGGCCGAGGGCACTAGGGAAGGAGGGAGGAGGTGAGAGTCCTCCGGGGGTGGGGAGGCTGGGGGGCGAGGAAACCTGGGAAACGGAGAGGAGACGGGCAGAGGAATCGCTGGGCACATGGAAGAAAGGAGGTGAGGAACAGGCAGGGGCAGCGTGGGAAGGAATAGACACGTCGCTGGCGGCGGAGAAGAAGGGAAGGGAGGAACCCGTGAAGCCAGAGAGGAGGAGAGGGGAGGGGAATGCGGAGACGGAGAGGGACGGCGGCGAGGACGCTTTGCCAGCAGAAAGCGAGGGAACGAAGGGACCGATGGAGGGAGGCGAGGAGCCACTGGGAACAGAACAGCGTGGAGGCGAGGAGAAGCTGGAGGCAGAGAAGGACGCTGAGGGGCCAGTGGGAGTAGAAAGCAAGGCAGTTGAGGGGTCGTTGAGGCCTGAGGAGGAAAGGGGAGAGGGAAAGCTCGGGGCGGATAAGGGAGTCGAGGAAGCACCGGTCGTAGAGAAGAAAGGAGATGAAGAAAAGCTGGAGGCGACGGAGGAACCGTTGACGACAGAGAGGAAGGAGGGTGAGGGATCACTAACAGCAGAGAGAACAGGAGATGAGGAGCCACGGGATGAAGAGGAAAAAGATGAGGAATCACCGAAGGCAGAGAGGATAGGAGGTGAGGGGCCATTGGCGGCAGAGAGAACGGGAGGTGAGGGGCCATTGGAGGCAGAAAGAACAGGAGCTGAGGGGCCATTGGAAGCAGAGAAGAGCCAAAAGGTCCAGGAAGACGTGAGTCCAGAAGCTCAGAGAGAGTCTGGAACTGGAGAGGAGTGTCAGGCAGAGAAGGTGAGTGAGGCAGGGGCTTCCCCGGGGGCCCAGGAAGAGCTCAGGCCCGAGGAGGAAGGGCCGCAGCCGTCCCAGGAGAAGCAGGAAGGCTCGCCGGAGGAGGAGGAGGAGGAGGAAGCAGCGAAGCCTCAAACCCTTGCCCAGGGCCAGGACCCCTCAGGGGATGCCACGCCCCTCCTGGCAGAGACCCCAGCTCCTGAGCAGCCCGCCGAGTGCCAGCCACTGCTTCCGGTGGAGGAGCCCAAGGCCAACCCCAGTGCCCACCCCGTGCCCACCTATGCACCTGCCCAGCAGCCCGAGCCCTCCGCTCCTCCTGAGGGTGAAGAGGCAAGCGGCCCTAAGCAAAAGACGTGCCAGTGTTGTGCGGTGATGTGAGTCCACGCCCTCCACCCCACGCCTCGCTCTTTTCACAGCTACCTCGGCCTCTTGGCATCCAGCAGAGGGTTCCCAGGCACAGACAGGGCACATGGGACTGGCCATGGCACCTGGGAGCCTGCTGGCCCACACCTCCACCCCCACCTGGGCTTCTGGACCCCTTGCCCACCGCCTGTGACCCTGGCTCCCTTCTCCGACTAAACCTTTATACTTGAAAATAAAATATTAAAGCATTGGGACAGCTCGAATGTGTGTGTTTCTTTTGGCCCAGAACCACCTCACCATCTCCTGGTGGGAAACGGAGGGCTTCATTTGGCTGGAATCAAATGATTGTGAGTCAGTCAATGTGTAGGTGCAGCTGCTGCGACAAAAGACCCCAAGTAACAGTAACTATAAAAAAAAAAAAAACAACGTACGTTTATTTCCAATCCATGAAGTCACTTGGGGACTCAAGTTCCTTTCATTTTCTCGCCCTCCCCTTTCTCTTGGGTCTGGCTGGAGCTAAATGATGGGCGTGTTGATGTTTTTCCAGCTCAGGGAAAAGGAAAGAGACTATGGAGGAGTTCCATCGAGCCCCAGCTTTGGCACAAGTCACTTCTGCTCACATTCCATTGGCGAGAACTCCTCGCAGGGCCACACCTCGCAGCAAGGGGAGCTGGGAGTGCCCTTGGCTACAGTTCCGTGACAGCAGCAGGACAGATCTGGGGAGGTGGCTGCCACTCTGGATTTCGTGTATCCTCCTCTGCTCCCTCAGCCACCCGTACAGTCCCTCCAGGGCCAGGCCTTCTCCGCAGGAGTCCTTCAGTCTCCCTCGGCTCCTTCTGCCCGGCTATCCTTAGGTGAGCAGCTCAGCCTCTCTGGGCCTCCGTGTCTTCATCTGTCACATGAGCACCCTGTCTCCTGGCCCGGGGTCAGTTCAGGCCAGAGCCTGGGGCCTGGGCGCCGTGAGTCCTGGAGGCCCAGCTCCTCAGGTGTGGGCAGGAAGTGCTTCTCATACCCAGAATCCAGCCGGGAGGAAGTCTGGGGGGGCTCTATTACTGGTAACGGCTCCATCTCTTCCACTTCCACGGTGGGCAAGTCTCCAGGGGGCGGGGCCTGGGGTACATCCTGGGAAGAGAGGAGGCTGAGATGATGAGCCCCCTTTTCTCCTCAATGCTCCCACCCACACCCCACTGTCCCCACCCCCACCCCCAACCTCCTGGATTGCGGGGGTTCCTGACAAGCCAGTCTTGTTTGCTCACCTCTACGCGGGGCTGGCTGAAATGGCTATTGGCGGGATCGGGGATGTCCTCCCACACCCAGCGGGGCAGTATCTTGTGCCACAGGTGGAGGCACCTGGCAAGCAGGGAAGAGTCAGGGAGGGGGATCCGGAGAATACCCATGCCCAGGTTGCAGGGTCTGGGGATGTGGGATGTCCCCTCGCCCTGGAAGTCCAGCTACTGCCCCAGCTGCCCTTCCCACCAGGTGCAGACCCACACGTCTGACTGCCTCACCTTCCAGAGATGGCCAGGCTCACGCCACAGCCTAAAAGGAGCAAGCCACACAGGAGGACGCCTAGCAGGATTTCCAACTTTAGGGTGTTATCTGGGGGGGAGGGGGGGGGAGAAGAACATTAGACACCAGGAGCAGGGAGAGGTCGGTGAAGGCTCATGGATGTGCAGGCTGGCGTGAGGGAGGCAGAAAACGAGCAGGGGCAAAGGGGGAGGAAAACCTTGGGGTGGGAGTGGGCTTGTGAACAGAGCAATACTTGGTCAGAGGTCAAGGTGAGGGTTGGGTGAAGTGGTTAGAGACACATGTTGCCTGATAACCCACAGCAGTATTGAGCAGAATCGAAATGCATCAGCCATAGCGACCCTCCCCCCCCCCCCCCCGCCCTAAGTCAAAAGGTTGCCCAGTCATGAAAGCCCAGAGAATCCTTCCATATCCCCCCACACACACCCCGCCTACTACGGCAGTGCCACCTCAGCCCCTACCTGGTAGGTGAAGCTGGAGGCTGGGACCGGGGGGGCCCTGTCCTGCGATGGTGGACGCCATCATCCACAGCTCACAGGGGCCCGAGGGAAGGTGGGGCAGGGTGGTTTTCTGGGTGCTGCCACTCACTGACGGACAAACCCAGAGAGGGTGGGAAGGCAGTCAGTCCTACCTCCGGACCTTTGTACGTGCTTTTTCTCTTTCTGTGACATCCCCCCCCCCCCAACACAGCTCCCACCTCCAGGTCTTCGCACACATGTTGCCTCCTCAGGGACACCGTCCCTCACTCCATCCCTCACTGCATGTAAAACTGCACCTCCTTCACAACCCATCGTCCCTGCTTCATTCTTTCTTTCTTTTCTTTTCTTTCTTTTTTTAATATATTTTATTGATTTTGTTCAGAGAGGAAGGGAGAGGGATAGAGAGCTAGAAACATCGATGAGAGAGAGTCATCGATCAGCTGCCTCTTGCACACCCCCTACTGGAGATCTGCCCACAACCAAGGTACATGCCCTTGACCGGAATCGAACCAGGGACCCTTCAGTCCCCAAGCCGAAGCTCCATCCATTGAGCCAAACCGGTCCCGGCTCCCTGCTTCATTCTGTGCCCAGCACATCTCACCGTCTGGCACGCTGGTTAAGTACTATCTACTTTCCTATGCCTCTGCGTCCTCCATGAGAAAGTTGGGAGTCCGGCAAGAGCCATAATCCCAGTACATGGATCATAGCAAGCACTAAGAAAAATAATGTAGATTTGAATACACAAAAGAATAAATGAGTATCATACCCCTTACCTGCACAGAACCCCGTGGAGGAAGGCTCCTTAGACCCAGGGTAGACATTTAGACCTCCCTAAGCTATTTTTGTTTACTTTTTTTTTTTTTTACTGAATTGCTCTTAAGCCAAAAGAGGAAGTAGCTTTTTGGTTTGTTATAGAATTATAGGAGACATGAACAGGGATTACCAGTAATAGGTGAAAAAAAAGAAAGTTGCAAAACATCACAGTCATAAGATTCATGGGCCAAACTATCTACACTAATAAAAGGATAATATGCTAATTAGACCAGACATCCTTCTGGACAAAGCCATGTGGCAGGGGCTGAGGCAGAGGCAGTTAGGGGTGCTCAGGTCGGCAGGAAAGAGCAATTAGGGGTAGTCAGGCCAGCAGGGGAGGGTGGTTAGGGGCGATCAGGCAGACAGGCAGGCAGAGTGGTTAGGGGCGATCAGGCAGGCAGTTGGACATTCCCTGAGGGGTCCCAGATTGGAGAGGGTGCAAGGCCCAGTTGAGGGAACCCTCCAATGCACAAATTTCATGCACCAGGCTTCTAGTCCTATATAATATAATAAAAGCTTAATATGCAAATCAACTGAATGGCAGAATAACTGGTGGGATGACTGGTCACTATGATGTGCACTAGTCACCATGGAGGCAGGTGCTCATGCAGGAGCTGCCCCCCACCCACGGGCTCCAGGCCAGCCAAGGAAGATGCCAGTGGGGGGCCCTGATTGCCTCACCAGTTACCCCACAGAGGGAGGTGACCAGCAGCAGCTATGAGGAGCGGGGCCGGTGAGCAGGTGGCGCCAGGCTGGTCAAGGTGGGTGCCAGCAGGGGCCCCCCTAATTGCCCCACTGGTCACCCACAGATTGGCCCTGATTGCCAGCCAGGCCTAGGGACCCTACCCATGCACACATTTTGTGCACCAGGCCCCTAGTAGCCTATAGCATGGTCCTCTTTTAATAATAATGACGATATACATGTATGTATATTTAATAATATATATAATTTTTAACCTGATTCTCTCTCTCTCTCTCTCTCTCTCTCTCTCTCTCTCTATATATATATATATATATATATATATATATATATATATATTTGTTAAGATATTATCATGGCAAAATAATTATGTTAAAAAAATGGGGCATTATCAATTAGAAACAAATGTGTTTAGGGGTGAAATGATACCAAAGACTCTAGGAAAAAAAGTGTGTGTGGGGGGGGGGGGGGGCGGGTAAATTGAAACAAGATTTGGCAAAATGGAGGTAATTACTAAAGCTGGGTGGTGGATACACGAGGGTTTGTTATTTTCTCCCGAATTTTTTTTTTAGTTTTTTAAATTGATTTTTAGAGCGGAAGGGAAAGGGAGAGATAGAAACATCCATGATAAGAGAGAACCATGGATCTGCTGCCTCCTGTACGTCCCCTAAGGGGAATCGAACCCACAACCTGACCAGGAATCGAACCTGTGACCTCCTGGTTCATAGGTCAATGCTCAACTACTGAGCACATGCCGGCCAGGCCCTACTTTTGTATGTGCTTGAAACTTTCTATAATAAAATGTTAAAAATCTTCAAAGCACCAACTCCTATGTGCGTTAACATACACATGAGGAAACCTGGAAGCTGTGTTGTCCTATCAGTGAAAGGATGAAAATGCTGAATTCTTGATGCTGTGTGTCAGCTTTTGTAACAAGCACAGACAGTTTTTGTAATTGGAAAAAAAAAAAAAAAAAGGGTAATATATTTTTTTAAGAAGGAATTTGTGTCCAGAGTAAAAACTCAACCTATACCCAAAAGCATGAAAAATAAATAAAAAATCATATGTAAGCCTACAATCCTGTTGACACTGAGGGAAATGTATCTTCACATTTCTGCCTCAGCTTTGCTCAACGCTGGTTTATTTTACAAACATGGAACCATCCCAGAGTTTTGAATCCCTTTTATCTTTTTCACTTAATAAAATAGGACAGGCATCTTTCAATGTCAATAAATATAGATCGGAGTCGTTACTTTTAATGGCCAACTGGCAGCCCATTACTTTGAGAGCCACGAGGGTGATTGTCCGCTAGGGAACAGATGACGTCCTGTGTTCTCCCAGGGACTGAGCGGGGGCCAGAGGGGCCCATCTGAGGACACGGGGTGAGGTAAACTGATGGGTGGGCCGCGAGGGGTCTGGGAGCAGGGGCGGGAGGCAGGGACGCTCACCATTCGTGCAGACGGAAGGCCTGGTCCCACTCCGCGCGCACAAGGTGTAGTGGGTGAGATGGCCCCGGAGTTGGTGCCTCGGGACCTCTGCCCACGCTAAGGCGGGGGTCCCTGGGGGAGCATCCTGGAGTCTCCGAAGCGCGGGTCCCACTAACGGTGCTGGGGACAAAGCCAGTGGGTCAAGGTCTGCCAGGGTTCCAGGCCCCTCCATCTGCCAGCCCCGTTGCTTACCCAGTTCCTCTCTGAACGCCCAGACCGAGGGGGCAGACTGCAAGCCCCCAGGAGAGACCGCTGTCACGGTGACCCGGTAGGGGACCCCTTTTTCGAAATTCTCTGTGGGAAAGCGGGGAGGAAGCCAAGTTCAGTTTGAATTGAGGGAGCAAAATCCAGACCCTCCTCCCCCACATATTTCCTTCATGTGGGTCTCCAGAAGGACACGCAGAGAACGAGACCCGAGTAACCCCAGGAAACTCCCAGAGGGCCAGTGGGGAAGAGAAAGAGGGAAAGAAAAGCAGCTAATAAAACCGTGTGTCTGAAAACAAGTTCCCCACGTGGGTCACGGAGGTTCACTCCCGCTGGTGGCCTCTGGGGGGCAGCAGAGAGCACGCGCCGGAGACCCATCTCGTAGGAGGGAGCTGGGTATTGATCCACCAACCCTTCATTTGTCAATGGGTTAGTCCCAGAAGCAACTTAACTCCCTGCCCGTCCAGCCTTCTATCCAGCAGGCAACATGTTTCAGGGACCAGAAACTGGCCTCAGGCCAGGAAATGCTGGAGGCTGGGAGAAGGTCAAGTACTGGGCTAGGATGGGGGCTCTGACCCCACCCATCACGGGTAAGTGAGGTTCCTGAAGTCCCTCCTCAAAACTGCTGCTGCTGCATGGCCTTCCCAAACTGGGAATTCTCCAGAATGGAGGCCCCTCTTGTTTTGGCCATAAATACTTATGGGCCTCAGGACTCTCTCCTACAATTCTCGCTCAAGACCTTCTCATGCTCTCCCAAGTTCTTTTTTTCTTTTTCTTTTTTTCAATATATTTTATTGATTTTTTTACAGAGAGGAAGAGAGAGGGATAGAGAGTTGGAAACATCGATGAGGGAGAATCATCGATCAGCTGCCTCTTGCACACCCCCTACTGGGGATGCGCCCGCAACCAAGGTACATGTCCTTGACCGGAATCGAACCCAGGACCTTTCAGTCCACAGGCCGACGCTCTATCCATTGAGCCAAACCGGTTTCGGCTCTCCCAAGTTCTTAACCTGAAGGAAGGCCCTCCCCCCCCCAGTATCAAGCCCCGGCTCAAAACTCATTGCTGGCCCAAGACCCAAGCATTTGACAGTCTCCTGGACAACTCCACTTGGATAAGCCTCAGAGGCAAACATGTCAAATGGGTCCCCAAAATTCTGCTCCAAAACCTGCTCCAACCAGAACCCGCCTGCTTCTATCCACTCCTCAGTCTCCACCTGGTCCAACCATCATCACCTCTGGCCTGGACTAGCACAGTTCCTTCTTTCAGCTTCCACCTCTCCCCTTTCCGACCCCCAACCCAGTGTGTTCCTCCCACCACATCAGCCAGAGGGTGCCTGTGAGCACCTAGTCAGTGCACCTCCCTCCTCTGTTCAAAATCCTCCCTGTGGCCCATATGGCCCTGCACCCTCGGCCCATTACCTCCCTGCCTTCACCTCCACCCACTCTCCCCCTCACTCCTGCCACACTGCCGTCCTTACTGACGCTCACACGTCAGATGTATCCCTGCCTCATGGCCTTCACACGGTCTATTCCCTCCTGCCTTTTCCTCAGCCATCCCCATGGCTCCCTTTCTCACCTCCTTTAGGCCTTAGCTCCAATGCCACTTTCCCAGCGAGGCCTTCCCTAACCTTTCTTTCTAAAACAGCATTCTCCCTCCTTCCCCTCCCTCTGATTTATTTTGCCCCAGTTGCATGATAAGTACTTGCTTTTGTTTCCTCGGCTGCCTGCCCCACAAAAACTTTGCTGAGAGTGATGGTTCAGGGTCTAGCTTCAGGGGCCTGACTATGTCATTGAAATCCTTGTTCCTGCCGAAACTGGTTTGGCTCAGTGGATAGAGCTTTGGCTTGCGGACTCAAGAGTCCTGGGTTCAATTCTGGTCAAGGGCATGTAACTTGGTTGCAGGAACATCCCCGGTGGGGGGGGTGCAGGAGACAGCTTATCGATGTTTCTCTCTATCCCTCTCTCTTCCTCTCTGTAAAAAAACAATAAAATATATTTTTTAAAAATCCTTGTTCTACCACTTACTTGCTGTGAGACCTCAGGCAAGTGGCTTAGCCACCGTAGGCCTTTCTTGCCATCTGTCAATCAATTCTGGGGCTAGCAGACACCTATGTTATAAGGAAGTTTGAATGATTTAATGCTTATGGCAATAGACATCAGCTGCTATCACATAGTGGGTGGTCCATGAACTAATGATACTGAAGCATAACACTCTTTCCTGCATACCCACCCATCCATCTGCTCCCCCACAGCTGGGATGGGAGACCAGGTGTAGCAGAGCCTCACCTGGCAACAGAGCACTGAGGTTCCCAGGGGGAAGCCGGACCCAGTTGAGGTTCTCCGGGGGTTCCCCGTCTCGAGCCCAGTCCACCACATGCTCCCGTGGCGCCCCGGACCCCGGCTGCCACGTCACCAGCAGCTCTGTGCTCCCCGCAATGCTGCTGACCACCACGCCACGAGGGGCAGAGTCGGAACCTAAAGGGCAGGAGGAAGGAGTCTCAGCTGCCCATCCAGGAGGTCCCCTCCGGGCACTCCCCGGGCACCGCGTGGAGGACATTCACAGACTCTTACCCAAGCAGAGCAGAGAAAGGTTGGTGTGAGGCTCCCAGCTTGTGGCATTGATGGCGGACACTGCAACCCACTCCGCTTGGGTTGGGATGGAGGAGCTACAGCAGGGAGTCTCCTGGAGGGTCAGGTTCTGACCTTTCACCTGGAACCAGACTCTGTAGCTCGCCTGCACACAGTGCCCGGGGGCCTGATACGGGAAAGAAGGGGTTCGTATCTCCCACTTAGCAGACACCTGTTGGGGGTCTCAGTGAGGTCACCTGACAAACCAGTCCGTGGAAGGTTTTTGTTTGCTCCACTTTACAGGTGAGGAAACGGAGTCTCAGAGGGGCTTAACGGGAGAGGTGGGATTAGACTACAGTTCCAGCCCGGCTGGTGTGGCTCAGTGGTTGAGCACTGATCTATGAACCAGGAGGTCACGGTTAGATTTCCGGTCAGGGCACATGCCTGGGTTGCAGGCTTGGTCCTCACTAGGGTGCATACAGGAGGCAGCTAATCAATGATTCTCTCTCATCATTAATGTTTCTATCTCTCTATCCCTTTCCCTTCCTTTCTCTCTTAAAAAAAAAGCAAAACAAAACAATAAAAACAACATATTTTGGGGAAAAAGAAGAGTGAATGCTCAATCAATTTTTGTTGTTGTTGTTAATCCTCTCCCAAGGATATTTTTTCCACTGATTTTTTTTTTTTTTTTCAGAGAGAGTAGAAGGGAGGAGGGAGGGAGGGAGAAACATCTATGTGAGACAGACGCATCCATTGATTGCTTTTGGCAGATGCTGACACTCTAACCACTGAGCACCGCTGGCCGGAATTCAATAAATATTTTTTAAAAAGAAGACAGGGACTGTTGTTTTCCACTTTGCTATATTTGTTGTGAGCCAGGGCCTAGCAATACCTGGAAAATAGTAGGTGCTCAACAGATTTGGATCAATGAGGACTGTTGTACCCATGTCTGTTACCTCATCATGTCTTTTTGTCATTAACATCCAAGCCCATAGCACACTGCTGTATTTTGTGAAGCTAAGCCTCATTTTGCTTCCAAACCTTCGTACTGTCTCTCCTGTCTAAAACAGATGCTCCCATTTTCTTTTCCTTTTTTTAATCCTAGAAGTCCGGAGGGGATGGGTTGGTGGTGTTCCTCAGCCCAGCCTGCACCCTCTCCAATCTGGGACCCCTCAAGGGATGTCCGATTGCCCGTTTAGGCCAGATCCTAAATGGTGGGATCGGGCCTAAACAGGCAGTCGAGGATTGCTGGCTCCTAACTGCTCGCCTGCCTGCCTTCCTGATTGCCCCAACTGCTTCTGCCTGCCAGCCTGATCACCCCTAACCACTCCCCTGCCAGCCTGATCACCCCTAACCACTCCCCTGCCAGCCTGATCACCCCTAACCACTCCCCTGCCAGCCTGATTGCTGTCTAACTGCTCCCCTGCCAGCCTGTTTGCCCCCAACTTCCCTCCTCTGCAGGCCTGGTCCCTCCCAACTGCCCTCCCCTACTGGCCATCTTGTGGTGGCCATCTTGTGTCCACCTGGGGGCAGGATCTTTAACCACATGGGGGCAGCCATCTTGTGTGTTGGAGTGATGGTCAATTTGCATCTTACTCTTTTATTAGATAGGATACTTTTCTTGATTTCAGAGAGGAAGGGAGAGACAGAAACATCAATGATGAGAGGGAATCATTGATTGACTGCCTGCACGCCCCCTACAGGGACCGAGCCCGCAATCCAGGCATGTGCCCTCGACAGGAATCGAACCTGGGACCTTGGAGTCCACAGACCGACGCTCTATAAACCGAGCCAAACTGTTTAGGGCGCACGCTCCCATTTTCACGCCTCGGCTCAGAGGTCCCGGTGATGGAGGCATGCTCTGGGCCAGGCCTGCGGCAGGACTTCTCTCGTCATCACCTTCCTTTAAGCCTTGAAGCAAGCTCGTGAGGGCAGTGACCTGTCTTGGTTACCTCACTGTTATTTGGGGGTTCCCTGACGCATGCCGAGAACTGTAACTGGTCCCCGCAACTCACCTTCCACAGAAGCAGGGGTGTCTGTCCATCTTGTGTCCCACAGGGCTTCCCCGCTACCCAAAGCTCTTTCGGAGCTGGCAAGGAGGAGGAAGGGGCAGGGGAGCAGTTAGATATCAATCAGGCTGGCATGGGAGTGGTTAGGGGGTGATCAGGCTGGCAGGCAGAAGCGGTTAGGGGCAATCAGGAAGGCAGGCAGGCGAGTAGTTGGGAGCCAGAAGTCCTGAATCGTGAGAGGGATGTCCGACTGCCCGTTTAGGCCCGATCCCACCGTTTAGGATGAAAGGGGCACGGGCAGACAGACTTCCGGGACGGGGGACAAGGTACTGGGGGGTGAGCCAGGAGACCCGTACCGGAGGGCAGTGTCTGGAAGGACAGCACGGGGCTCCACTCGCCCCACAGGTCCTCCTCCTTCTCCATCCGGCAGCGGCCGGACACCTCGTAGCGAGTGGCCAGTTCCAGGTCCTGGATCTCAATGGGGGTCAGGGGTATGGATTTCAGTTCTGGTTCCAGCTGGGGAGAGAAGGACAGAGCAACAAGGCCGAGGGCTGAGGAGACAGTAACTGACCCTTTGTATTATCAGGGTGGCCAACTCGCCTGCTTTGCCTGGGACCGAGAGGGTCCCCAAGACATTGGACTTCTGTTTTTTAAATTAAGTCCTGCCCTGGCTGGTGTGGCTCAGTTGGCTGGGCATTGTCCTGTGTACGGAAGGGTTGCAGGTTTGATTCTGGTCAGGGGCACAGGCCCGGGTTGCAGGGGGGTTTGATGCCCCGTAGGGGCCATGCAGGAAGGAGGTAACTAGCTGATCGATGTTACACTCTCACCTCTCTCTCTCTCTCTCTCTCTCTCTCTCTCTCTCTCTCTCTCCCCCCCTTCATCTCTCTTTCCAAATCAATAAATTATTATTTAAAAAAAAAAAATATATATATATTTTATTGATTTTTTACAGAGAGGAAGGGAGAGGGATAGAGAGTTAGAAACATGGATGAGAGAGAATCATCTATCAGCTGCCTTTTGCACACCCCCTACTGGGGATGTGCCCGCAACCAAGGTACATGCCCTTGACCGGAATCAAACCTGGGACCCTTCAGTCCACAGGCTGATGCTCTATCCACTGGGCCAAACCAGTCAGGGCAATAAACTATTCTTTAAAAAAAAAAATTTGAGCTCTATGTGCCAGGTGATAAATTCTATTGCCATTCCCATCTTACAGGTTAGGAAAAGTGAGGTTCAGAGAGAGAGAGGAAGTGACTTGCCCAAGGTCACGGAGCTGGTGCGAGCTGGAGCTGAGACTCTGTACCCAGGCAGTCAGATCCCAAAGCCTGCATTGCTCTGAATCCTAAGAATAATCAAAGTGACAGCTCTGGTCTACACTGTGTTTCGCATCAAAAGCTGAGGCTGAGATAGTTGTTCACCCCTAACATCCATTCTTCCTCTATGCCTTTGGAAATACAACCTCCGAGTAGTAGTTGGGAGCACTGCTATGAAGAATAAATACTACATTTCCCAGCCTCCTTTTCAGTGATGTGAGACAGATGACTATGTTCTGGCCAATGAGATAGGAACAGAAATGACAGGCATCTTCTGGGGCGTGCTCTTATAGTGCATGGATGGGTCCTCCAACTCCTTCTGGGCTCCATTGTCCTGGGTTGTTTTCCACTTTCTCCCCGTGTGAGCTTGGGAAAATTGCTTAACTCCTCTGAGGCTCGGCTTCCCCAGCTATAAAATAGAGATCTTAAACGTATCTGCTGTGTAGGAAGGTTGGAAGGTCTTATCAATATAATCCATGCTGGCCCAGCTGGCGTGGCTCAGTGGTTGAGTGTCAACCTATGAACCAGGAGGTCACAGTTGAATAAAAATATTTTTAAAAATTAAAAAAAATAAATAACCCATGCTACTTGCTTAGCCTAGGGCCTGATGCTCGGCATGTCAGCTGCTTTTATTCTTTAAAAAAAAAAAAAATATATATATATATATATATATTTTATATATATATATTTTTTTATATATATAAATATATATATATATATATATATATATATTTTTTTTTTTTTTTCAGAGAGGAAGCGAGAGGGAGAGAGATATAGAAACATCAGTGATGAGAGAGAATCATTGATCGGCTGCCTCCTGCACGCCCCCTACTGTGGATCAAGCCCACAACCCGGGCATGTGCCCAGATTGGGAATGGAACTGGGACCTCCTGGTTTGTAAGTCAACACTCAGCCACGGAGCCGTGCTCAGCCACGGAGCCGTGCCGGCTTGGCTGTTAGTCCTTTTTGAGTGTTTTCTGAGAACCAGGCACTGCTCCTCATCTGTAAGATGATGTTAAGTGCGCGTGTTCTTATTTTAAGGTTAACATAGGCTATTTGAGTACTTTCATTCGTTCATAAAAATGCTACAAGAAGTTTATTTTTTCTCAGAAATTCCAAGTGGAATTTGGATTGAGACTGCATGGAATTTATAGATTGGGGGGGGGGGGTAGTTGAAGAATATACATGTACAGGTCTTTTGTGCGGGATGCAGACAGACTGCAGGAGCAGGTGAGAAATGCGCTCTGGCTTGGCCTCTGATTTGGGGCTAATGCCCTGAGTAGGGTTGGGGGAAAGCACTCAGACACTCACCAGGGTCCAGGCCATCTGCTGGCATCTCCGGTAGCGGAACTGGCAGACCAGGACCTTATGGGGTGGCCATGGAGGTGGGGACCATTGAACAGTGGCCTCCAGGGGGTCATCCTCTGACAAGTCCACGTCAGGGTCCAGTTGGGGGGCTTCTGGCTTCACTGAGGAGGGAAGACAGGGTGCACTGAGCTGGCGGGGGGGGGGGGGCTTCAGGCCCACCCTCCCCTTAGGTAGCACCCCGCCCTCCTGCCCATTACTTTGTGTCTCCAGGTTCACGGAGACTGCGGGCCCGAGAGGCTGGCCTGCCACGGCCACCCAGACCAGGAGCTTGTCGGATGTAGTGAGCTGTTCCCGGGGGATGGTCACCCAGCTCTGCCCAGCAGGCACTGCCACAGTCCAGGTTCTGTTGGAATGACTGAGAAGAGGGGGAGGTTTGGGGGGGTGTACATAGGGCTGGGCCCGAGCCACAACAACTGCTCTGCTGGGGTTCAAATCCCAGCTCTCCTGTTTTAGAGTTGTGTGACCTTGACAAGCAACTGAACTTCTCTGTGCCTCAGTTTCCTTATCTACAGAACGAGGGCACCTGCTGAAAGGGCTGAAGAGAGAAGGGGAACCAGCGTGATAATAAGTGGAATGCATTTGGAATGCATTTAGAACACCGTTTGGGTGCATAATATATGTTAAGTGAACATCGGTTATTGTATTTATTAAGCACCTAATGCACACTCACACACACACACACACACACAGTGACCAGACGTCCGCTTTTGGCGGGACAGTCCCGATTTTTAACAAAAATCCTGCCAAAAGCGGGACGTCTGGTCACCTTACACTAGAGGCCTGGTGCACAACATTCGTGCACTGGGTGGGGGGCGTGTCCCTCAGTTGGACATCCTTAGCGCTACCACGGAGGTGAGAGAGGTTCCCGCCACTGTCACTGCACTCACCAGCCGTGAGCCCAGCTTCTGGCACATGGACCACCAGGGGGCAGCTCCTGCACTGAGCATCTGCCCCCTGGTGGTCAGTCTGCATCATAGTGACCGGTCGTTCCCCTGTTCGGTCATTTTGCACATTAGCTTTTTATTAGAGAGGATATGCACACTTACGTCTGTGCAACTATTCAGCCAGCAAATAAACATTGTGCCAGGCCCTGCTGTGGAAACAGGATAGGACTATTATCAAAGCAGGCAAGGACCTGCTTTTGGAGCGGGTGTCCAGTGGGGTTGGCAGATGAGAAACAAATATATAATGAAAGGTGGAATGAGCGATATAAAGAATAACCCAGAAGGGGGAAGAGAATGCACTGTGTTGACTGGGTGAGGACTGACTGCTATTTTAGGGAGGGTGCTAGGGAAGATCTATCAGACAAGGAGACATTTGAATAAGTGCCTGAATGCAGTACCGGTGGAAGAATATTTTAGGAAGAGAGAACAATCAGTGCAAAGGTCCTGGGGTAAACTGCATGGTGTGTTTGAGAGAGAGTAAGGAGGAGGCCCACATGGCTGAAGTGGAGAGTATGGGAGGGTGGGGCGGTGAGGGCAGGAAGGTGACAGGGTGATTGTGCCGGTCCCGGGAGGCACAAGGAGGACTGGTTTGTGTCCGGAGTGAGGTCGCAGCCCTGAAAGGCTGAGAGCAGAGGAGGAAGGCGTCCTGACCCCAATGTTCACAGGCGTCCTAGAGGGGCTGTGGCAGAGGAGACTGTAGGGGTGAGGGTGAGTCCAGAGCTCCTGGAAGAGGTGGCTGCACCGTCTACGCCAGCAGTGACGGGAGCTGAGGCTGGTGGGTACTGAGGGAGGGGGAAAGCCAGAGTCTGAATGACATTGAAGGGGGGGAGGCAGATTTGCTCATAGAGCAGATGTGGGTGAAAAAGAGGAACTGAGGAAGTTCCCAGGCATTGGATTCCAAAGGCTCCAAACAGGCCCTTCATAAACAACAACAAAAACACCCTTGCTGGGAGGATGGGGAGACCCTGGAGTCCTCCTGCCTTCCTGGTGGGAACATAAAAGGCTGCAGCTGCCCTGGCCAGTGTTCTCAGTGGTTAGAGCATTGGCCCAAGCACTAAAGGGTCTCAGGTTTGATTCTGGTCAAGGGCCCCTGCCTGGGTTGCAGGTTCGATCCCTGAACTCAGATGGGGTATGTTAGGGAGGCAACCAATCGATATATCTCCTTCACATCAATGTTTCTCTCTCTCCCTCCCTCTGCTCCAGTTTTTCTAAAAACCAATGGAAAAAATACCACATTTGTGAGGATTAACAACAACAAAAACGTTAAACAGAGAATTGCAAGATGGCTCAGCAATTCCACTCCTAAACATATATCCCAGAGAATGGAAAACAGGGACTCAATAATTTGCACACACATGTTCTTAGTAGCACTGGCCACAGCTACCAAACGGTGGAAGCAACCCAAATGCCCATCAGCAGAGGGGTGGACGGACAAACTGTGGCCTCTCCACACAACGGATTATGACTCAGCCGTAAAGGGGAAGGAAGCTCGGATACGTGCCACCAGGCGATGGACCCTGAAAAGATTACGCTCAGAGAAAGAGGCCAGACACACTGTGTCTGAGTCCATTGATATGAAATGTCCAGACCCCGCAAACCCATAGAGACAGAGGGCAGCCTGGTGGCTGCCAAGGTCTGGGGGGCAGGGGGAGTGAGGGCGATGGGGAATGGAACTTCCTTCGGGGGAGACAGAAATGTTGTGCAACTAGACAAAATGGTGGTAGCACAACACTGTGAACACACCAAAGCCGCTGAGTTGTTCACTTTAAAATGGTAACTCTTTATGTTATTTGAACTTCACCTCATTACAGAAAGGGAAGAACTTGCTCTGACTCCCCAACCTCTACCACTGAAAATTAGGCCCCACTTCCGGAGATGGGTGGTGGTGATGTTTGCACAGCAAGGTGCACGTACTGAATGCCACTGACCTGTCCACTTCAGAATGGCTGAGCCCTAACCAGTGTGACCTGCGGACCAAAGGGTCCCAGGTAGAATTCTGGTCAAGGGCAGATGCCTGGGTTGTGGGCTCAATCCCCAGTAGGGGGAAAGCAGGAGGCAGCCAATCAATGATTCTCTCTCATCTCTGAAGTTTCCATTGCTCTCTTCCTCTCTGAAATCGATAAATATATATATATATATATATATATATATATATATATATATATATATATATATTATTGATTTTTCACAGAGAGAAAAGGAGAGGGATAGAGAGCTAGAAACATCGATGAGAGAGAACCATCGACCAGTTGCCTCCTGCACACCCCCCACCGGGGATATGCCCGCAAGCAAGGTACATGTCCCTGACTGGAATTGAACCTGGGACCCTTCAGTCCAAAGGCCGACGCTCTATCCACTGAGCCAAACCTGTCCCAGTCAATAAAAATATATTTTTAAAAAATAGTTGAGACACTCAGGTGGCATGTCTCAGGGTTGAGCATTGACCTTCCAACGAACTAGGAGATCAGGGTTCCATTCCCAGTTGGGGCACATGCCCAGGTTGGGAATTTCGGGCTTGATCCCCAGTAGGGGGCCGTCAGGAGGCAGCCAGTAGGTGATTCTCTCACCCCATTGATGTTTCTCTCTCTCCCTCTCCCTCCCTCTTTGAAATCAATAACAATATATCTGTTTGGAAAAAAATGGCATTTTTTTTCCCCAAACAGATATATATATTTTTCAAACATGCCCAGGGGTCTCTGCACATGCTCAGAGGCGGTAAGTGGCCACACAGCAACCGCAACAGCTTCTAATCACTCAGCATCTTCTCTCTGCAGGCCTCCCTCAGGGCCCCTGGAGCCAGCCCTGGGAGGCGGTGTCACTCACGAGGGCCTTTGACAGAGGAGCAGAGGAGCAGAGGGGCCTCGGGGTCCTGCAGGACGGAGAGGAGGGAGCCTGGATGCATTGAGAGCTGGGAGGACTGGGGCCAGGACTCCTGAGCCCTCTCAACTGGAGAACGCGGGGACCTGAGCGGCCGCCCTCCAGAGTCTCAGTTCCCCCGAAGCCGCCCCCTGTACTCACTACTTCTGGCTCTGCAGGTGCAGCGTGCAGGGCGCTCCCAGGTCCCCCAGAGGCTCCAGGGAGCAGTTCAGGTCGCCTAAGGGCCCAACACCATAGCAGCGCAGGGGCCCGGGGCTGCCTGCAAGAGGGCGAGGGCCCAGGGAAGGAGGGGTCAATGCCCCGCCTCCTCACTGCCCAGAACCCACTCCCCCCGGTTCTGATCACCCTGGGGGGCTAGGAGGTCCCTTTGGGAGTGAGAGCAGGAAGGGGGCGCTGGGCACCTCCGCCCGGGCTTTGGGCATAACTCCTCCCCTCCCTCCCTCTACCAGCCACATCCTGTCACCACCCCAAGAGCTCCCCCCCACCCCCTCCCCTCCCCTCCCCCTCCCCTCCCCTCCCCCCCCCCGGCGCTGACCCCCACCCCTGCCTCGTGTCCCCGCTCCTGTCTGCGCCCGCACCTGCCCGGGGACGCGCAGGTGGGGTGCGGGCTCTGCCATCCATCCCGCGAACCTGGGGTTCGCCCTGAGAGCCGGTGCTGAGGGGGGGGCCCACACTCACCGCGGGGGCCCGTCGGCTGGAGCAGCAGCCACAGCAGAGGCAGCAGCCGGCGGGGCGCGGCCCCGGCGCCCCCCATGGCGCCCGCGCTCCCGGTCTGGTCCCGCGCCCGGCGGCCCGGCAGCCGCGTGGCCGTCGGGTCCGGGCCGGCGGCGGCGGGAAGCGGCCGCCCGGCAGCCGCCTCCGCACCTTGCGCGGCGCCCGCCCCTTTCCCCTCCCCCTCCCCCCCTCCCCCCTCCCTCCTCCCTCCCCCGGAAAGTCCCCGCGGGCGGCGAGGGGGGGCGGAGGGCGGCGGGGAGGGCGGAGGGCGGGCGACTCCCCTGAAACGGAGTCTCCCCTGCCCCCCCACATAACAACACACACACACACACCAACACACACACACACCAACACACACACACACACACCAACACACACACACCAACACACACACACCAACACACACACACATAACAACACACACACACACCCCAACACACACACACACATAACAACACACACACACACCAACACACACCAACACACACACCAACACACACCCATAACAACACACACACACACCCCAACACACACACACACACACATAACAGCACACACACACCAACACACACACACCAACACACACACACCAACACACACACAACAACACACACACATAACAACACACACACCAACACACACACCAACGCACACACCAACACACACACACACACCCATAACAACACACACTCATAACAACATACACACACACTCACACACACAACAGCACACAGAGGCTGCAGAGTCTTTTGCAGCTTTTATCATTGCGGTCGGAGAAGGTTCTGATCTGTCCCCTGAGTGTATGAATGTATGAGGTTTGCCAGAGACAGGTGTCCCGCACTGGCCCTGCCCCCCCCCCCCCCCCAGCCGCCTTGGATCCCCACCCAGCCGGCTCTTCGGATTGGTTGCGGGCCTGCCTATGCTTGGTGAGCTAGAGGTAAAGGTTTACTCGCTTTGCTCTTTCAATAAAAACACATAGGTTGATTGCTTTGATTGGTTGGGTTTTCACAGTACAGTCAAGGTTTCTCATATAAATTCATTTGTGTGAGAAGACAAAATTCAGGCTATGTGACTTTTGTTAAAAGGGCTCCTAATTTGGGGGCTTCTGTTTTTCAGATCTAAGGAAACAAAACAATTTGGTGAATTATGTATTTCCTATCCAATCCCTCCAGAATTTGGCAATTCTTTTAAAAAATATATATTTTACTGATTTTTTACAGAGAGGAAGGGAAAGGGAGAGAGAGTTAGAGACATCGATGAGAGAGAAACATGGATCAGCTGCCTCTTGCACACCCCCTACTGGGGATGTGCCCACAACCAAGGTACATGCCCTTGATCGGAATCGAACCAGGGACCTTTCAGTCGGCAGACCGACGCTCTATCCACTGAGCCAAACCGGTTTCTGCAAAGATAGATCTTTTGATAGCAAGGGCATACATAGGAATGAGAATGGAACTGTTTGCACTCTTCCTGGAGCTCAGGGTGGTGGCAATCCTTCCCCCCACACACACACCCCCGAGTTCTGGGTACTCGCTGAACTCTCCCAGCGCTCGGCCTAGAGTTGCTTCTTTTTAAACTCCTCTAGGAAACGTGATGGGAACTTCAAAAACGTGAGAGCCACTGCCAACACTTTTAACCAAGGACACAGGTTAGCACAGGCTTCCCCACATCTGGGGCAGGACGGGTTCCCGGCAGACCATGCTGTTCAGTGCGCACAGACCAGTAGGTCAGTTCTGTTAGGGGACACACACCACCAGGTGTTCTCACTCATAAGTGTTCAGGTTATGGGTGCCTTCGATCTTGTGGTAAGGGCGATTAAGTCTAGCAGATCCTCTTCCGTGATTGCACAAAGGAGGAGGATGCCCCGAGCAGAGAAGGGGAGATCATAGAGGAAGCTGGATATCCTTTTGTGTGTTTTCTTACAGGTGGGAAGGGCTTCATCCACACCCGTGCAGATAGCCCTTTGGGCCGTATTCTTTTTTTAAAAATAGATTTTATTGATTTTAGAGAGGAAGGGAAAGGGAGAGAGAGATAGAAACATCAATGATGAGAATCATTGATCGGCTGCCTCATGCATGCCCCCTACTGGGGATTGAGCCTGCAACCTAGGCATGTGCCCTTGACTGGAATCGAACCTGGGACCCTTGAGTCCCCAGGCCGATGCTCTATCCACTGAGCCAAACCAGTTAGGGTACGCCTAATTTTCTTTTGTACCCAGGCCTGGCCTTCATATCAACAGGCAGATAGAGAGACATGGCCCCCAGAGGAAAGTATTAACTACAATACCATCTTGCAATGAAATATTTTCTATATGAGGGAAGGGAAGTAATTTAAGCTCTCATATGTCCAGGCTTTCTTTACTTTAAGAAACAGTAAGAAATAATGTCAGAAATGCAAAATTGAACCCTAGGTCTTGATAGCCTTGACCGAAAACAATACCAGAGTCAAAAAAAAAAAACCCTAAGAAGGTGAGGGGGCCTAGTGGCCCATAGAATTACCTAAGCCATCTTGTCCTCCTTATAATGCAAGGCCCCTGGAAGGACAAGTTACACCAAGACCCAAGGAGACTCAGCCACAGGCCCCGACTACCATCTGCCCTCTCTAGGCAATGGCAGGGAGATAGTTTTGACCCACCTGGGTCCAGGTATCATTTCCATATTGGACTTAAAACAAATTAAAGAAATAATCCCATCTCTAAAAAGTTGGTTGGTCCTTCTTCTCAGCCCTTTGTTTAGCTATTTCCTATTGCTTATCTTTGGCCGTTGCTTATCATACCTCCTGATACATTTTGTTTCTTCTGACATAGAGGCTATGAAACTCCAAATGCAGCCCCAGATGGAGATGACTGTGTTTTACTGTGAACCGCTAGAACCAGCCTCCTCCAATAGGACCTGACTTCTGCTCCCCAACAATGCCCACTGTCAGCAGGAAGTAGCCAGAGGGGTCATCACCCCACTCCCAACAGCAATGGGGGTCTCCATTATCGGAGGGAGGACAGAGAGCATTCACTTGAAATGCAGGCAGATAGGGTGGGGGTCCGTCCAGGGGGAAACAAAAGTAGTTGGAACACAGGCAGGGGGCAGACACGGCCGTTTGGGCCAGCCTGTCATTGAAAAAACTGTGTTAGTTCTTCAGGAGACAATCCAGGCAGATGTTCTCGGAAGGTGCCTTATCAGTATTTTTCCAAAGACTGTAAAACATCCTCAGATAAAAAGTTATGAAGAGTTCAAAAGAGGCTTGTTTGAAGAGGAGCAGGGGAGGGAGCTTCCTACTAATGATGCCTGGGTTGTAAACCAGCAGGGAGGAGGTTATGTAAGAATGTAGCCTTGACAGTAACTTATTTTGTCTTGCAGTATGAGCAGAGGGGCTGTTTCAGCCAGAGGAGCTAACCATCTTGGGGTTTAATTACCAGGTGCTTCGCATAAATTGTGGAAGGTCACAGCAAAGAAAAAAAAAGGCATTTTTCCCTTTTTTTTTTTTTTTTTTCCATTTGAACACATCAATACAATGGCCGAAACCAGTTTGGCTCAGTGTATAGAGCGTCTGCTTGGGAACTGAGGGGTCCCGGGTTCGATTCCGGTCAAGGGCATGTACCTTGGTTGCGGGCATATCCCCAGTAGGGGGTGTGCAAGAGGCAGTTGATGGATGACTCTCTCTCATCAATGTTTCTAACTATCTCTCTCCCTTCCTCTCTATAAAAAAAAAAAAATCAATAAAATATATGTTTAAAAAAAAATACAATGGATTATTACTCAGCCATAAAAAGGAATGAAATTCTGATACATGCTACTACTGTGTCTCCCTGAAAATAAGACATCCCCTGAAAATAAGACCCAGCGCATCTTTGGGAGCAAAAATTAATATAAGGCACTGTCTTATTTTGGGGGAAACAGGGTATATGAATGCATCTCAAAAAACATGATGCTGAGAGAGGCCAGACACAAAAGGTCACATATTATATGAATGCACCGATATGAAATGTCCAGAATAGGCAAATCCACAAAGTCAGAAAGGCTAGTGGCTGTCAAGGGTTGGGTGTAGGGAGGAATGGAGAGGAATTGCTACTGAGAATCCTGTTTGATGAAAATGTTTTAGAACTAGACAGAGCTGATAATTGTCTAGCATTGTGAATTGTTAATTTTTAACATGGTTAACTTTATGTTATATCAATTTCACCTCAATATGTAAAAACCAGCAATGATGATGGGCAGAGTTGGGTTTGAATCCCATCTCTATCTCCTGCTGTGTGACCTCGGGCAACTCAACCTCCTGTGCCTTGGTTTGCCTCACATAAAACAGGGAGGATTCAATGAGTATATCAAATTCGTCTGTGGCATGCAGTAAGTGCCGTTTAAATGCTATTTGTACCTGACACATTCCCTCTGGGTTTGAACTTTATTCCTTTGCCCTTTTCTTCATGACAAACTCCTGGCCTTGCTGTGGATGTGTCTGGCCGAGGGCATTGCATCAGAAGGCAGGCGCCATATCTGATTGGAAAGGTCTGATGAATAATACACTCTGCCCTCTGCCCCGTCTCCCAGCAACTCTCCGGCCATGCACCCTTCTCTCCTTCCCTCCACACTCCCAATGCCTGGCCCGGGGGCTGGCAAAGAACAGACATGCCAGGAAACTTTGCTGCCTGACTGTCCGACTTTGGCCCAGAACCAGGAACCTCTTTTGTGCCTCACACAGAACCAGGGTTTTGAGCCCAACACAGCTGGGTTTGAATCCGGATTCCTGTGTGAATCCTTGAGCAAGAGGCTGCACCTAGCCCGGCCAGCCCGGCTCAGTGGTTGAGCATTGATCTATGGACTGGGAGGTCATGGTTCTATTCCCCGTCAGGGCATATCCCTTGTGGGGTGTGCAGGAGGCAGCTGACCAATGATTCTCTCTCATCATAGATAGATCTATCTCTCTCCCTCTCCGACATCAATAAAAATGTATTTTTTAAAAAGAGGCAGCACCTCTCTGAGGTCATTGGAAAGGTGGAGATAATAAGCATATCTGCCTCTTGGTGATGGGGACTTTGGTGAGATTATCCAACAGTAAGCACAGGTGGTTGGATGGTGACCTGCTGGAGGACAGGTCCATGACCTCACCTGCGGGATCTATGAATGTGGTTTTATTGGAACAAAGAGTAAGGAGGAGGCCCACGTGGCTGGAGTGGAGAGTATGGGAGGGTGGGGCGGTGAGGGCAGGAAGGTGACAGGGTGATTGTGCCGGTCCCGGGAGGCACAAGGAGGACTGGTTTGTGTCCGGAGTGAGGTCGCAGCCCTGAAAGGCTGAGAGCAGAGGAGGAAGGCGTCCTGACCCCGATGTTCACAGGCGTCCTAGAGGGGCTGTGGCAGAGGAGACTGTAGGGGTGAGGGTGAGTCCAGAGCTCCTGGAAGAGGTGGCTGCACCGTCTGCGCCAGCAGTGACGGGAGCTGAGGCTGGTGGGTGCTGAGGGAGGGGGAAAGCCAGAGTCTGAATGACATTGAAGGGGGGCGGGCAGGTTTGCCCATAGAAGCAGATGTGGGTGAGAAAGAGGAACTGAGGAAGTTCCCAGGCATTGGATTCCAAAGGCTCCAAACAGGCCCTTCATAAACAACAACAAAAACACCCGTGCTGGGAGGATGGGGAGACCCTGGAGTCCTCCTGCCTTCCTGGTGGGAACATAAAAGGCTGCAACTGCCCTGGCCAGTGTTCTCAGTGGTTAGAGCATTGGCCCAAGCACTAAAGGGTCTCTGGAGTTCAAATAACATAAGATTTACCATTTTAAAGTGAGCAATTCAATGGCTTTGCTTTGTTCACAGTGTGCTACCACCATTTTATCTGGTTGCATCCTCCCTCCTGGGGATCAAGCCCACAACCCAGGCAGGTGCCCTTGACCAGAATCAAACCTGGGACCCTTTGGTCCACTGGCCCATGCTCTATCCACTGAGCCAAACTGGCTAGGTCTCAACCATTTTAAAGTGTACAGGTCAGCTGAAACCGGTTTGGCTCAGTGCCGGTTTGGCTCAGTGGATAAAGGTTCAGCCTGCGGACTGAAAGGTCCCAGGTTTGATTCTGGTCAAGGGCATATATACCTTGGTTGGGGGCACATGCCCAATAGGGAGTGTGCAGGAGGCAGCTGATCAATGTTTCTCTCTCATCGATGTTTCTGGCTCTCTCCCCGTCTCCCTTCCTCTCTGTAAAAAATCAATTAAAAAAAAAAGTGGACAGGTCAGTGGCATTAAGTACATTCACCTTGCTGTGCAAACATCACCACCACTCCATCTCCACTAATTTTCAGTGGTAGAGGTTGGGGAGTCAGAGCAAGTTCTTCCCTTTCTGTAATGAGGTGAAGTTCAAATAACATAAAGAGTTACCATTTTAAAGTGAACAACTCAGCGGCTTTGGTGTGTTCACAGTGTTGTGCTACCACCATTTTGTCTAGTTGCACAACATTTCTGTCTCCCCCGAAGGAAGTTCCATTCCCCATCGCCCTCACTCCCGCTGCCCCCCAGACCTTGGCAGCCACCAGGCTGCCCTCTGTCTCTATGGGTTTGCGGGGTCTGGACATCTCATATCAATGGACTCAGACACAGTGTGTCTGGCCTCTTTCTCTGAGCGTAATCTTTTCAGGGTCCATCGCCTGGTGGCACGTATCCGAGCTTCCTTCCCCTTTACGGCTGAGTCATAATCCGTTGTGTGGAGAGGCCACAGTTTGTCCGTCCACCCCTCTGCTGATGGGCATTTGGGTTGCTTCCACCGTTTGGTGGCTGTGGCCAGTGCTACTAAGAACATGTGTGTGCAAGTTATTGAGTCCCTGTTTTCCATTCTCTGGGGTATATGTTTAGGAGTGGAATTGCTGAGCCACCTGGCAATTCTCTGTTTAACGTTTTTGTTGTTGTTAATCCTCACAAATGTGGTATTTTTTCCATTGGTTTTAAGAGAGACTGGAACGGAGGGAGGGAGGGAGAGAGAAAGAGAAACAGTGAAGGAGATGTATAGATTTGGTTGCCTCCCTAACATACCCTGAGGTTGGGGATCGAACCTGCAACCCAGGCAGGTGCCCTTAACCAGAATCAAACCTGGGACCTTTCAGTCCGCAGGCTGAGCCAAACTGGCACTGAGCCAAACCGGTTTCGGCTGACCTGTACACTTTAAAATGGTTGAGCGCTAGCCAGTTTGGCCTGTGGACCAAAGGGTCCCAGGTTTGATTCTGGTCGAGGGCATATGCCTGGTTTGTGGGGGGGGGGGGATACAGGAGGCAGCCAATCAATGATTCTCATCTTTGATGTTCCATCTCTCTCTTCCTCTTTGAAATCAATTATATATATATATAAATATATATATAGAAAAAAATGGTAAGTTTTATACATTCAGTTTACCTCCATTAAAAACCACTCGCAGTGGTCCTGTGAGGCTCAGCTGGCCCGAAAGTTTTGCTGGTTGGATGCCTGGTGAGGACACATACCCAGGTTTCAGGCTTGATCCCCAATTGGGAGAGGGGGTGCAGGAGGCAGCTTATTGGTGTTACGGTTTCACATTGATTTCTCTTTCTTTCTCTCCCATTTAAAAAATCTAAAAAAAAAAAAAAAAAAAAAAAAAAAAGGCAGCTCCTTTGCTCTCGGTGCATGAGCCAAACCTGAAATGACTGAGTTCCCAGGTGGGAGCCATCATGGAGGCAGGAAGTCGCCCCTGGGCCCTCTCTTTGCTGCACCCCAGCGCCGGCCCATGGGTCTCTGCACCTGCTCAGAGGCAGTAAGTGGCCACACAGCAACCGCAACAGCTTCTAATCACTCAGCATCTTCTCTCTGCAGGCCTCCCTCAGGGCCCCTGGAGCCAGCCCTGGGAGGCGGTGTCACTCACGAGGGCCTTTGACAGAGGAGCAGAGGGGCCTCAGAGGGACAGGGACGGGCTCGGGGTCCTGCAGGACGGAGAGGAGGGAGCCTGGATGTATTGAGAGCTGGGAGCAGTTCAAGACGCCTAAGGGCCCAACACCATAGCAGTGCAGGGGCCCGGGGCTGCCTGCAAGATGGCCAGGGCCCAGGGAAGGAGGGGTCAATCCCCCCTCCTCACTGCCCAGAACCCACTCCCTCAGGTTCTGATCACCCAGGAGGGTTAGGGAGTCCCTTTGGGAAGTGAGCAGCAGGAAGGGGGTGCTGGGCACCTCCACCCAGGCTTTGGGCATAACTCCTCCCCTCCCTCCCTCTATCAGCCAAATCCTGTCACCATCCCCCTCTCCCACCCCTCCCCCTCCCCACCCCACCCCCTCATATCCCCACCCCCACCCCCACCCCCACCCCCACCCCCACCTGGGCGCTGACTTCCATCCCTGCCTTGTGTTCCTCATGGCGTCCCTGAGCCTCCCAGCTCCCCCCCCCCCCCACAGACACATACGCCCCGGCCTTGCAGGGCCCAGGTAGCCGCGTTGCCAGTGGTGGCAGGAAGCAGAGTCAGCCCTGCAGCCGCCTCCGCACCTTGCGCTGTGTGCCCAGGGGAGGTCGAGGGGGAGGCGACCTGGGGCATGGAGGGGGGAGGGGGAGGGCTGAGGGCTCTGCCCAACTCCCCTGAAACAGAGCCCCCCCACACACACCCATAACAACACACACACACACACACACACACACACACACACACACACACACACACATAACAACACACACACACAACAACAACACATACAGGCTGCAGAGTCCTTGCAACTTTTATTATTGCGGTTGGAGAAGGTTCTGATCTGTCCCCTGACCAGCCTCCCACCCCAGAATTTGAAGGGAACCAAGGGTCTCAACACCATCCTGGGACCCACAGCCTTAGGACGCCAGCAGGTGGCTTTGGAGGGAGAGAGGCTGGAACGCAGGGGGAGGGAGTGGCAGGCTGGGCTGGGGCAAGGGCATCCTACAGGCTGGGTGGGGGACAGGGGCCACAGTTGGGACAGGAGAGTCACCTTTGGCAAAGCCTTCTTCAGTGTGCCCAGCTTGGGTAGTAGGGGCTCCGCTGCCCAGGAGACAGTACAATCCAGACAAAGGCATGATGTGGGCTGGGGAGAGGGCAGGAGGCAGGGGCAGGGACAACCATTTGGCCAAGCAGGGATACAGCTTGCTCAGGGTGAGGACAGGTCAGTCGTTTGGGGAATTGTGTTGGAGTCCATGACGGGCTGATGAATGGATGTGTGAGGGGCCAGATGCAGGTATCCAGCGTTTGTCCGGGTACCCCAGCTGCCCAGGCCCCCGGTCTAGCAGAGTCTGCTGATCTCACTCTTGCTGCAACCCCACTTGCAGCAGTTGCTGGAGAGACCAGCCAGGACATCTCGGCTGCCACGCAGAGCTCCTGGGGTCTCCTGCCAGCCGGGCTGGCCGCCATAGAGAGCCTGGGGGCGCTTGGCCAGGACCAGCCAGTCCCTGGGGCCTGCTGCCTCTTCCAGCGGGCGGTCTGCATAGGGGCCAGGGTCTGGGAAGGCATCCCCTGCAAAAGACGAGAAGAGTTAATGCTTGGGGCCCGGCTTCTGTCACACGCAGAGGCCTGGTCCCTGGTTGGTCCAGCTGCTCTTCTGTTCTTGTGTGGCATGGTCTCCTGGGGAAAGGTTTGGATGCCACGCAGGCCTAGGTTCCAACTCTGATGGGTCTAATAGTAACCTCACTGAGCTTGGCTCTCCTGTCATTTCTTTTCCCTTACTCTTTGTGTATGGAGGACCTGCTGGTTAAGAACATGGTAGGTTTGGGAGTCAGACTGAGTAAGCCCAACTTCTCAGAGTTATAATCCTGAGCAGGTGAGTTTACTTCTTTGATTCTTAGCATCCCTTTCTGCAAAGTGAGGAACATAATAACCCCTAAGAATTTAGGGTTTTGCCTGGTGGTTTGGCTCAATGGATAGAGCCTTGGTCTGTGGACTGAAGCATCTCAGGTTGCACATGCTGAGGTTGTGGGCTTGATCCAATCAATGATTCTCTGTCATCATCATCATCATTGATGTTTCTCTCTCTCTTTCCCTCTCCCTTCCTCTCTGAAATCAATGAAAACATATTTAAAAAAGAATTTAATGTTTTATAAAAAGTAGTTGAGTTAATTAATACTCATTAAAAACAAAAACACTTAGTACTGTGTCTGGCCCATGTCAGCGCTCAAACTAGCACTGAGTCTTTCTGGAGGACTTGCTGTGTGCCAGACATGGTCTCAAGGGCTTCTGTGGATAAACTGCTTTCTTCCTCTCAATGACACCCCCATGAGGTGGGTCCTGTTATTATGACCTCATTTCCCAGAGACCGCCACCGAGGCCGGTGTGTGGAGCAACTGCACAAGGGCACACAGCTACTGAAGTGTAGAGCGGCTGTTTGAGCCCAGAAGGCATGTCCTCTAGGTTCACACTTCTTTTTTTTATTAAATATATTTTATTGATTTTGTACAGAGAGGAAGGGAGAGAGATAGAGAGTCAGAAACATCGATGAGAGAGTCATCGATCAGCTGCCTCTTGCACACCCCCCACCGGGGATATGCCCGCAACCAAGGTACATGCCCTTGACCGGAATCGAACCCGGGACCCTTCAGTCCCCAAGCCGACGCTCTATCCATTGAGCCAAACCGGTTTCGGCTAGGTCCACACCTCTTTATCATCATCATCATCATCCTCATCCTCATGACCAACATCTACTTTTCTGCCAGGCCCGCCCCTGCCCTTCAGGAGCCTGGACCCCTACCGCCCGACTGAGCCCCAACTGGGCCTCCTGCCTTCCTTGGGCTGTGTCCTTGCCTGTTATGACTCAATTTTGCCACCGAACAAACTTGTGAGATGCAGGGACTGCCTCCCGTTTGCAGATAAAGAGGACCAGCGAGGAAAAGCAACCTGCTGGGAGGGTCACCCACTGGGTGGCAAAATCTAGCCGTGGACACACCACACCCCTCACACCCTTCTCCTTCTAAGGGCTTGGGAAGTCCTTCAGTGTCGGCTTCCGGATGGTGTCCCCCCCAAAGGCCTGTGAGCAGCGGCCTTGAACAGCGCCAGGCTGGGCCCAGAGCAGGTGCCCCAGAAATAGCATCCTGTCCCTGGGCCCTTAGCCAGCGGGCATGGCTTGAACCTATCCCAGCTTTGGCCAAGTGGTTCAGCTTTGAGGATGTGAATTGTGAGCAGGGACTCACCTGCCCTGGCCCCTGGTCTCATCTTCGTCCCTGTCTCTTGGGCCCCCCATCCCAGGTCCCATGTCCCCCTTGCCTCCCTCCACCACCTCCCGCCTCACCCATCGCTTCCTGGGCCAGGTTGTCCGACCGCCGCCATCGGGAGCCTCCGCAGGTGAAGATGACCGCTCGGATGAATTCCCGGCCGCAAAGCTTCACCCCATAGGGTGCTCCCCGGGCTTCGGCTTCCAGCCACAGCCCCCTGGCCAGCACCCACACGGCCAGCAGCAGCAGCAGTGAGTGTTTGGCCATGCTGGACAGGGAGGCCTGGGACGCGAGAGTGGACACAGCGAGGCCGTTTCCCAGTGGTCAGTGCCTCTGCTGCTTCCTGGCCCCCCATTTATACACCCAGCCCCCCCCCCCCCCCAGCCTGTGTGGAGGAGCGAAGTGACCTCTTTTATCTCTTCCAGCAGAGGCGAGGCGGCCATGGCCCGCGCACCCCGACCTTTCCCGTTTCCCGGACGAAGTAAGCGATAACCTTTTGCCAGTGCGGCTCGCTGTCATCTTCCACAGAGAGAGGCAGGAAGCCTCCCTCCATTCAGCAGAGACCAGGACCCTGGACCCTCACCAGGCCAGGAGAGAGGGGGCAGCCACACCCGCCCCTCATAGGGCCGGGGCCCTGGACCGCCTCTATAACAACAACGATAGCCAGCCCTTACCCAGCACGGGCTTGGGACTAAGCACTGCTCTAAAGACTTTGTATTTGTGTAATATTTCATTCTCCTGACGACCTAGGTATTGGTTCTCAGATACGAGCAAGCCGCAGAACCTCCTGAGGGGCTTGTTACAGCCCAGATGGCTGAGCCCACATGCAGAGCATCTGAGAATCTGCGTGAGCAACCAACGTCCCGGCTGTGCCAATGCCGCTGGTCCAGAAACCACTGCGAGAGCCACTGGACTGTAATCAAAGTACATGCCCTTGACCTTTCAGTCCGCAAGCCGATGCTCTATCCATTGAACCAAACCGGTTTTGGCGTCTTTGCTTTTTATTACAGTTTTAACACCAACAGGTGCCCCTCCAAAAGATAGCCGAGTCTATCTCTCACCTTTCTTTCTTTCTTTTTTTTTTTTTTTTTTTTTTTTTTTTTTTTTTTGCACTCAGATAAATGTAACCTTTAATTGCACATACAGAAAAGCGCACGCATTGTCAGTGGACACTTGGAAGAATTTTCACGAACGGAGCACATTTCTGTCAGCACCGCTCACGCCCCAAAACAGAACTCTCAGCCTCACCCAGATCAGGGCAATGGGAGGAGGGGCATGGAGGAATTGGTGGATCCGTGTTAACACTGTGATAAAAACACAAAACATGGATAAGTACTTTGAGGCATTGTGAGTTGTTCATTTTAACGTGGTTAACTTTATGTTCTATCAATTTCACCTCAATATGTAAAAACCAGCAATGATGATGGGCAGAGTTGGGTTTGAATCCCACCTCTATCTCCTACTGTGTGACCTTGGGCAACTCAACCTCCTGTGCCTTGGTTTGCCTCACATAAAACAGGGAGGATTCAATGACCACGTCAAATCAGTAACACCGTCTGCAGCATTAAGTAAGTGCTGTTTAAATGCTATTTGTACCTGACACATTCCCTGTGGGTTTGAACTTTATTCCTTTGTCCTTTTCTGCATGACAAACTCCTGGTCTTGCTGTGGATGTGTCTGGCCGAGGGCATTGCATCAGAAGGCAGGCGCCATATCTGATTGGAAAGGTCTGATGAATAATACACTCTGCCCTCTGCCCCTTCTCCCAGCAACTTTCCGGGCATGCACCCTTTTTTTTTTTTTTTTTTTTAATATATTTTATTGATTTTTTATAGAGAGGAAGGGAGAGAAAGGGATAGAGAGTTAGAAACATTGATGAGAGAGAAGCATTGATCAGCTGGCTCTTGCACCCCGCCCCCACCACCACTGGGGATGTGCTCGCAACCAAGGCACATGCCCTTGACCAGAATGGAACTTGGGACCTCTCAGTCCACAGGCAGACGCTCTATCCACTGAGCCAAACCAGCTTTGGCCATGCACCCTTCTTTCCTTCCCTCCACTGGCCCGGGGACTGGCGAAGAACAAACATGCCAGGAAGTTTTGCTGCCTGACTGTCCGACTTTGGCCCAGAACCAGGAACCTCTTTTGTGCCTCACACAGAACCAGGGTTTTGAGCCCAACACAGCTGGGCTTGAATCCGGATTCCTGTGTGAATCCTTGAGCAAGAGGCTGCACCTCTCTGAGGTCACTGGAGAGGTGGAGATAATAAGCATAGCTGCCTAATGGGGTGGTGTTGGGGGCCTTGGTGAGATTATGCAAAGTGCTCAGCACCCTGCCTGGCACACAGTGAGCGCAGTCGTTTGAGTGGTGACCTGTGGAAAGACGGGTCCATGACCTCACCCCCCAGGACATATGAATGTGGTTTGATTTGGACAGAAGGTCTTTGCAGCTATAATTAAGTCATCCTTTGAGATTAGGTCATACTGGATTGTCTGGGTGGATCCTTAATTCAGGAATAAAGATGCAGGCAGAAGAGACAAAACTATGTGAAGACAGCGGCAGGCATTGGAGTCCAGTAGCCAAGAAAGCCAAGTCATGCCTGAGGCTGCCAGAGGTTGGGAGAGACGAGAAAGGATCCTCCCCGAGCACCTTCTAAGGGCACACGGCCCCGCTGACATCCTGGTTTAGGACTTCTGTCCTCCAGGACCAAGAAAGAATACATGTCCGCCTCTGTAAGCCAGTCTGTGGCAGTCTGTGACAGCAGCCGTAGGAAGCTAATACATAAGAGTGAGGAGATATTAGGTGCTACCCATATCATTATCACTGTTACTCTGGCCAGCACAGAAATGCCTCCAGGTCTTACCAAACCCAAATAAAGGCCCCTCTCTCCAAACTTCTTAACTAATTTTATTTTAATGAAATTACCTAAGCAGTCAGTCGGACATCCCCTGAGGGCTCTTGGACTTTGAGAGGGCACAGAGCAGGCTGAGGGACACCCCCCCCCCGCCAAACCCTAGCTCCTGCATTGAGTGTCTGCCCCCTGGTGATCAGTGCACATCATAGCGACTGGTCGTTGTGCTGTTTGGTCAATTTGCATATTAGCCTTTTATTATATAGGATGTCCCCAGCCCCCAACCTCCACACCTACTTTTACATTAAAGGTAGCATTAAAAAAATAGGGTCGAGGGCTGGCCAGGTAGCTCCTTTGGTTAGAGTGTCATCCCAATACACCAATGTTGCTGGTTAGATCTCTGGTCAGGGTACATATAAGAAGAAACCAATGGCCATACCTGATTTGGCTCAGTGGATAGATCGTTGGCCTGGAGACTGAAAGGTCCCAGGTTCGATTCCGGTCAAGGGTATGTACCTTGGTTGCGGGCACATCCCCAGAAGGGGGTGTGCAGGAGGCAGCAGATTGATATTTCTAACTCTCTATCCCTCTCCCTTCCTCCCTGTAAAAAAATCAATTAAAAAAAATATTTTTTTAAAAGCAACCAATGGCCATAGCCAGTTTTGCTCAGTGGATAGAGCATCGGCCTGCGGACTGAAAGGTTCCAGATTCAATTTCCATCAAGGGCATGTACCTTGGTTGCAGGCATGTCCCCAGTGGGGAATATGCAGGAGGCAGCTGATCGATGTTTGTCTCTCATCGATATTCCTAACTCTCTATTCCTCTCCCTTCCTCTCTGTAAAAAAATCAATAAAAATAAATAAATAATATATATATATATATATATATATATATATATATATATATATATATATATTAAGAAGCAACCAATGAATGCATAAATGAGTGGAACAACAAATCAATCTCTCTCAAATAAATAAATAAATTCTTGTCATGATATGCTATGCCCAGTGCTGAGATCCCAGAAACACCTCAGCACACTGTTCCTGGATTCCCAACGAAGTAACCCGGTGGACTGGCTGTGAAAGCCACGGGTTTACCCGAAGTCACCTGCGTGCCGGTGGTGACGGACCATCGACGTTTGCCGCCACACTGGCTGCCGCAGGTGAAGCTGAACCGCTGGTCCCATCCAGCCTGCAGACAGGCACACGGGGGACAGCCGCCAGTGCTGCCGTTCCACCACCACCCAGGTGTTCCCAACACAACGTTTTCTGGAGCCCAGACAGCACAGAGAAACAAGGCATGCAGGGGAGGGCGACGGGTGCAGTGTGAGATCAAAACGTTGCTTTCCTGACCGAGGCTGGCCCTGTTCCCAAGGTCTCCCAGTGCCTTCCTGATGGCCTCCAACCCCCTCCCACAGGACCGGAGGGGAGCTGGAGCATGGGAGGAGGCCCCTGCTCCTATTTATGGCTCACGGTGAAATAGGCATGACATAACCTAATCCAGTTTCGCCACCTTAAGTGTCATTCGCCATGTCAGAGGCAATAGCACATTCACATTGCCGTGCGACCACTCCTTTTTGTCCCTATGGCTTCGCCTTTCCTCGGGTACGTTGTATAAGTAGAATCATACAATATCTGTGTTTGTGTGTCCAGCTTCTTGCACTTAGCACACTGTGTCATGATTGACCAACATTGTGACACATGTTAGAATTTCAATTCAAGAGAGCATATTTTATACATTCTTCTGCGCTCGTCTTTTTTCTTTCCACTTAACAAATGCCAGAGAGAGCCCCTTACCAAATTCCTGTTATGCAGCCCTGTTATTTTTCTACAGTTGCATAATGCTCTGCTGTGTAGATGCCCCAGAGTTTAATTTTACTCCCAGAAACTGGCATTTTTTATCTGTTTGTTCTTAGGCTAACATGGCAGTGAAGAACTTCGTACAAACGTCATTTTACATATATGCAAGTGTGTCTGTAGATAAATCCCCCAAAGTGAGATTTCTAGTTCCCAGACTGTGTGCATTTATAATTTTTACAGATATTATCACATTTATCCCTCTGGGGCTTAGGTTAATTCATATTCCCTCCAGCAATGGATAAGGGTCTTGTTTCTGTACAGCCTCACCAACAGAGTGTGTATCAACTGTTGGACTTGGGCCAACATGAAGGTGAAAAATGGTATTTCAGAGTAGAGAAAATTTGCATTTTCCTCACCACAAATGAGGCAGAATATATTTTCATGTGTTTAAAAGCCATTTATAGGCCCTAGTCGAGTAGCTCAGTTGGTTAAAGCCTCATCCCAATATGTCAAGGCTTAGATTATGAGTTCGATTCCTGCTCAAGACACATGTAAGAATTAACCAGCCCTAGCTGATTTGGCTCAATGGATAGAGCATCGACCTGCGGACTGAA